TAGCCCCTTTCCATAAAAAGTGACAAATAAGCACTCAAAAATAGACCCTATACTAGACTTACCGGGGTGATCACTTCCTAGGTTATACAAATATCTATTCACTATGTTGTACACCTGAAACTAATATAATATTGTATGTCAACTTAAATTAAAAAAAAAAAGTAAAGAAAAAGAAATTTATTACGAGGGTAATTTAAATTAAAAAACAAAAACCTAAAGAAAAAAGTTTATTATCAAGATAATAAAAAAGTAGACCCTAGAAAAATAACTTTCTATATTATATTAACAACCCAAAGGCAAAGGAAGGATTATACAATAAAAATATAATAAATGGGGCTAGTATAGATGAAACTATGAGGGGAGGGATGATTTCTTCACATTGTACCATACACTAAAATAAATGAACAATGATCAAGAATTGAATAAAGCTTTAATGAAACATAGGTGAATATCTACATGACTTGGTGATGGAGAAGAATAAACATAAAAGCAATGGTGGCAATAACAAAAGAAACTATCAATAGAGTTTTCAACATAAAAATAAACCATTTAAAAAATGAAAAGATGGGGTGGGGGTGAGGTGAAAAAGAGAAATATGAGTGCCAGAGCATTCCATGCTGCTCCTATAATACCTAGACTATTGACCTGTTTTTCCTTCTGTCTTCTTTTTAATAATAGCATCCCCCAGTCACAGGACACTGGATTCATCTGCAGTTCTCTCTGTTGCTTCGTTCTTATTATCAAACAAAAAATTATCTATGTCACTTTTTAATATATTTAAATAATCCAAATTATATAAACAAAATGGAAAGGCAAAGAACAAACAAACTGTAAAAAATAAAAATTTCCAATAAGCATAATGGACAAGTGGTTGGCATCCTTAAAAGATGAAGAAGTCATTAAATAAATAAGAAAAATACTAAAACCCCAGTAAAATTAAAAGCATAAAAGGCACAAATAGACAATTCACTGAAAAAAGAGATACAGGTGAATAATAAACAGAAGAAAACTATTCAACTTCACGAATAATTTATGAAATGATAAGATAAAATAATGTGATACCATTTTGGGATAATGAAATCAGCAGAGAAAAAAAATAATCATGATTCAAGTACAACATTATAGAAACTTTCATATACAAGCTGGGCCATGACAACATAGATCAGTACAACATTTTTGGAAAAGATTTTGTTAATATTCAAAAAGAATACTAAATAAGTTCATATTCTTTATACCCAAATTTCTTATGTAGGAATCTATTCCAAAGATATAGTTGGAAATTTAGCAGAGATGAATACAAAAAAACATCTGATAACATTGTTGTTTTTATAACCTCAAAAGGGATACAATTTAAATGCCCATTAACAGAATGGTTACATAAATTATGTCAATTTGGTGAAAAATCTATGCAGTCATCAAAAATACTCATATTTTAAAGAACATTTAATGATGCTGGTTGGACATTTCCTACAAATGTGTATTAAGAGTATAAAGGATACTCACCCTTGGAACAATGTAGGGTAGGTAAATTTCAAGACAGACAGGACATACTGAAAAACAAATACCATATTAATGGACATTTTACAATTACAGAGAATTGATAGATCATATAATCAAAGAAATCCCTACTGAAAAAAACATAAGTACACAAGTTTCAAAAGGCCTTTATTCTCATCGTCTCCCCACAAAAATCACACACTGGGAAGTCAAAATCACACACCAAGCAAGTCATACCTTCCAAGTCATACCTAACAGAGTGGGCCTGCTTTCCCCAAAAGTTACCAGAAGCCTGACCACCTCAGCTAGGGAATGGAACCAGTAATATGAGCCAAGTGGGGCGGAGGCTGGGTCGGATATTGGGATGGCTGACCACTCTGCATCTTCCCAGCTCCCAGCAGTATCATGTCATAACTGCAGCAACTCCAGAGAAAACCGGACAAACCCTGTTGAATGCCATCTGTTTTCTTAGGGTATTCACTTATCTACTGTCCAGTTTACCTAAAAACCCACCCCTCTTCTTGGTTTCTCTTTGAGTAAGAACTGCATCCCACTCTTTCATTTTTTTCCTTCCATTTTAGGGGTTTTGTTTGGTTTTTGTATTCTAAGGATTTTTTTTTCCTAACGAATTCTGTTTAGGTGTCACAATTTTTGCTGTGCTTTAGCATTTTAAGCATTTTCTTTAAAAAAAAAAAACAACTCAGCTAAGGTCAACTTGTATTTGTATTATGCCTTTCAATCAAATTTACAGCACTTAACGAATGGGGGAATTGTGTTGTGTCCTTCTGGGTATCTTTTTTGCATTTTTCTATTATTAAACACTTCAAGAATTTTTGAAAAGCCTAAAACCATGAAATGGCTTTAGACAAGGATTCTACTGATTCTTCACAAGATCTAAAAAATGGAGTTGACTGGTTAGGCAACTTTACATATCTATTTCTCCCCCAGGGATTAGGCTACACATACCGTATTTCCCCATGTATAAGACACTCCCTTGTATAAAATGCACCTTAATTTCGGGGCCCAAAATTTGAAAAAAATGTATTACATAAAGTTACTGAACTCAAGTTTTATTCATCATAAAATTCATACAACTCCTCATCACTTGCGGGAAATGCAAGTAAAAAATCTACAACCACTGTATAAGACACACCCAGGTTTTAGACCCCAAATTTTTTGGAAAAGGGTATGTCTTATACATGGGGAAATACGGTAATTGCCCTTGTATGAGCTCCTATCTGCCACAATTCTAACAGCCTGTGCACTGGTCTATAATTATTAGAAATGGACTTCATTCTTCTCTGAAGTTTATTTACTCACATAATTCAACATGTTCCTCCCCACTTCTCCCTGATATTTTCATTCTAAAATAGAAGTAGAGAAAGGATTGAGTGAACATCTGGGCCACGTCCTACATCATCACCCTTAACAACCTTCATGAAGATAACAAATATGTACTTAATGTATTGTGTGCTGAGCTTTGTGCTAGATACTGGGTGAGATAGAAAATACCGAAATTCTCACTTTACCTTACTAGAGAACAGTAAATAAAGAAATCTCTGACAAAGGAAATCTAAGTCCTAAACATTTCTCCTTTCAGCAGTTCCTCATATCACTGAAAAGTGTTGCTCAGAGCAAAATGCTATATGTTAGAAGAACAACAGCAGTAAGAGCATCTCAAGGGAAAAAAAAGAGCAATTTGGGAGCCTTTGAAAGGAGAACAGATGTGCACTTTGCCTCCAGACTGAAGGCTTATGATAACAGCTGTGGGGAGAATAACAGGTGGCTGCCTGGGCCCTACATCCAGTGACTGCTGGAAACTCCCGCAGGATGGATGCCACCCTGAGTGGGCCAGCCAGGCCAGGAAAGCCAGAACACTTGCGGTTCAACTATTCTTTTAAACAGTAATGAGACTAAGGGATGAAATTAAGATGTACAAAGTTTTTTTAAATGAATTTTCTTCCTATCAATAGAGAGGGAAACAATTTGAGGAGAAAACAACAGAGAGAAATATGAAAATCTAAAACTAACATAGAGTGTTCTAAAAACTAGAACAAAAGATCCTCTTTTGTAGACACACACAAGGAAACCTTCACTAATTCAAAAGAAAATTCATTTGGCAGAGATTAGACACAGGGGAATATGCCCGAGGGGTGCCCACTACACAGCTCCTTTCCCATTTGGCCTCTATTTGGTCCAAGCCCACTTGCTTTGGCTGTTGGAAGTGTGACTGTCCTGGTTGAGAAGATGAAACAATGGCATAATCCAAAAGTTACTAGGTCCCCACCAGAGTTCCATTATGAACAACCATCTCTCCCACCCTTACCTGGGCCTCATATCTGTTCTCCACCGCTCTTTACTTCACCTCCTCCTTCCTCTTCATGTCGGCTCCTTGCCTCCCCTCTGCCTGCCTTCTGCTGTTCTCCTCCTACTCTCCACCAGCTCCCGATATTTCCCAACTACCCTAAACAAAGCACTCCAAGCTATCGTGGGAAATGCAGAAGGAAGTCTTTGGCTTATTGTTTAAATTCTGAGGGCCCTTGGGAATCTATGATTTCTATTACTCAGATTAGATATTCCTGGGGTCACGAGGATTTGGTTTATTTATTTATTATTATTATTATTTTTTAAGATTTTTATTGGGTAATTGGGGGACGGGAACAGCGCTAGGGAATTGGGGGAAGGGGGACAGACAAGTTGCTGTCCTTTTTTTTTTGTTGTTCTTCAGTCTAGTTGTGGAGGACGCTGCTTCACTGCCCCAAGTTGGCAATGTCATTGCACTCTTCCCCCAGCGATGCAGATTAGTCGCCAGCTTCTGGACTGCCACTCACACTGGCTGCTGGCTACACACGGTAGCCCATGGCAACCCACTGCAGCAGGGGCTGCAGCCTACGCCTGAAGGCGACTCTCCACAGCCCAGCTCCAGGTTGAGCTGTTGTTCAGCATCTCAGCTGTAGAGGGCAGTGTCACTGGCCCTCATATGTGGGATCCGAACCGGGGCCCTCTGGAGTCCCAAGCCAGCTCTTAACCAACGCACCACTCGGGCCAGCCCGAGGTTTATTTTTATCTACCGACTTGATATACAATGCACACAGAAAGCACTGTCTTTATTACATTAATTATAAAATGCTGTGGTAGCCAAATAAACAAAAAATAATGATACGGGTGCAAATGTGCATCCAGAGGGGGTATAAACTTTGGTGAACTAAGCACTATCTGTCTGCTGGGTTATTTTGCTTACAGATGCATTTTTTTCTTAACCAATGCCAAGACTTGCGGGCTATCATGAAAGACCTGTTACTCTGCCTCATCTGATGATTATATAGAAATAAAAGGAAGGTCATTCTGTCTTAAAGTGTAACATTATCAATATATCCATCAAGTTAGACAAATTAAAACAGTTAAATGAAAAGACCAGGATTTCACAAATTCACATACTCCTGAGTGGGTGCTACAAAAAAAGCTTCTTTTAGTTTACCTCCCTTCCCCAGGAGGAAAAAACAAATTTGGTAAAAGCTAATAATTACTGTGTTGCACCATAAGCAAAAAACTGTCTTTCCTTTCTCCTTTCCCTTCTTCTATCTAGAGTAACTATCACTTTATGGAGCATGTACTGTAAGGCTGGGCACTCCACCAAACCACTTTACAAACATCATTTTAAATAGTCCTCATAACAACCCTTTGAAGGGAACTTTTTAATCTCCTTTTAAATTTAAATTTATATTTAGGTTTCGAGAGATTCAATTTCCTAAGGCTAAGTAAGTGGAGTCCCAGTGCAAACCCAACAGCCTCACAGCAAGGCCATATTAATGAATCCTTAAAGGTTCATTACCACAACTAAAACCTGGACAGGAGCTTCACTAGCATCCTCTGAATATACTGAAGACAGGCACTCATATTAAGAAAGAGGGTATAAGTAAATGCTGTTTATTAGTGGTTCTTTTCCAGAGAGCAAGAAGGAACAGTAGAGACCCTGCTGTGGGGGAAGGTCGTCCTAGGCCCGAATCCTCACTTTGGCTTGGTGTCCAGCACAGAGTCCAGGACAGGGGGTAATGCCCCACCCTAGCCAACAGGGGTCCAACATTTCCCTGCGTGTACGAAATCCAAGGCCAACTTCCCCCCACTAACAAGATAAAAACATTGTACCGCTGCTTTTCTGCCACGTCATAAAACAAGGTTTCATGGCATTACTTTAGACAAATTAAGTTTACATTTTATTTTAATAAGTAGTTTCACACACAAAAAAACCCTCTTGAATATACTGGAAGTGCCAGGGATTGAGACATAAAAAATAGTTTTGGGAATCAGTGGTGCAAGGCGGAAATGGAGATGGACGGATCCCTTCTATTTAAAGGATTCTGGAATGTTGTGGGGTTCAGGGCAAAGGCATATTTAGAAAAGCCGGATGTGTCTGAGTTCTTCCCTTACTCTTCCTTCCCAGAGGACCCGGGAGCCAACTGCTTTCTTTCCCTTAAAAGTAGTCCACACAGTCCAAAATTAAGTTCCTGCAAACTCGTCAAAAAATCCGGTTTCCCAGGAGATGTACAGGATGCTTTACAGGACGGGAAACGAGACAGTACAGTGCAACGAATACTATTTCTAACAGAGCATCCCACACAGAGTCGGTTTCTTCTCCATCACCGTCAGGAAAAAAAAAAAATCAGATAAAAAGCTGGAGGCTGCATTTGTTCCACGTACAATATTGGATTCAGATCTCCAGCGTGCAATCCCGTCTCCCCTTGCTTGCCCTCCTCACCTTGTTCGTGAGGTAGAAAGCCAGGTAGCAGGTACAAAAGGTGAGGCCGACCAGGCACCTCCTCATGCACATCTGTCAACTCGCGGCCCTTCCCCGGGACCCTCCAGAAGCCCCTCGGCTGCCAGGGGATTTGGGCCGCCACCTCAGCTGCCAGGATGGCCACGTGGCTACGAGATATACCAATCAGCACCAACCTCCTATCCCCCTTCCGCGCCTAGTTCTTAAAGGGTCCGCGCCACGGTACCGCTCACAGACTCGAGGTGGGCGGAGCGGCACTCACCTGGCAGAAGGACTGTGGGAGAGTAACTAGGTCAGCCAGGACTGAGACCACCTATAGAGAAAGATTGGACTGTAATAAAAAAGTAGAAAGTAGAAGAGGGGGAAAAAGCTGACAAAACAGTTCACCGTTTAAAGAAAAATGTTCATAGCTATCGCTAAACGGTGGGACCAAAATGTTTGTTCTTTACTGAATTTTCCCAGTTTTCTACGTTGAGTCTATATTACTTTTGTAAACGACACAAAAAGCTGATAACAATAAATGTCATTTTAAAAGAAGGAAGGCTGAGTGGGGAAAAAACTAGAGTACAGTTTTCTTTCTTTTTTCTTTAAGTCATTCCATTGTGTTGAAATATCTATAAAATAAGAAATCCTTCCAAAAGTGGCGTTTCAAGCACAACTCCTGTTCCTAGTCTCTCGGGTGGAAACTTGACCTACTTAGGCTTCTGGCAAACAGTAATAAACACACACAAAAACATGTTGATGGATTTTGTCAGCAACTATTCACTCTTTTTTATTTGTATTCCCTACATAAAATTGTTCCCCAAACTATATTACCCAAGCAAACACTGGATGCATTGTCTACATAAAAGATAAGCTAAAAGTTATTTTCCCTTGACTTTATTCTAGAAAACCTATTTTAGAACTAAATAGACCTTACAAAGAAAATTGTTGCCCAATAGAATTTGCTTGAAATCAATGGTTGGTATTTAACTGAGAGTTCCCTGAGCTCTTTTAGTAGATAAACAAATTCAATTCAGGCCTTATTATTTCCTAGTTATTGGTTAACTCATTTTCTTGAACAGAATTTGCTTAACAAGCAGAAACAACCAGAACAGTAAGGAACCGTGCAAACAGAAGTACACATTTATAGCAAATGTGCTGATAGATCTTGACAGAGGTATTGATTTTTCCAAACCTGCATTATTCTGTTCCTCAAAACAAACTCAACTAAGACTGAATAAAAATAGAATCATTATATCTTACATTTACAAACAATAAGCTGCTATATATGAGACTGAGGCAAACCTACTATACATATGAAAAGATTTAACTGCTTATGTTGTTGAGATCTTTGAGACCAAAGGGTCAATTATTAATTTTTTTACAATGGGTCCATAAGTGCTCAAAAATGTTGAATAAAAAAAGGGCAGCTTGCATAAAACAATACCTTGTGAGTTTTCCCCCCTACAAATCTTTTTTAATAATGATTTTGTTTACAGCAAACATGGAACTTGATATAAGTCATAGTTGCACAACATTGTGAATCTACTCAAGGCCACTGAATTTCACACTTTAAAATTTTTATGTTATGTAAATTTCACCTGAGCAAAAGAGGGGGAGAGGGAGGGAGGGAGGGAGAGAGAGAGAGAGAGAGAGAGAGAGAGAGAGAGAGAGAGAGAGAGAGAGGAAAGAGAGAGGGGGGAGAGAGAGACAGAGACAGAGAGAGAGAGAGAGATGAGAGTTTGAAGTTATAAAGGTAGAGCAGATGCAAGTCATTCCCAAGTCAGACGAAGCCATGGTGAAACAATGGTGAGGATGAGCTTAAAGGACTAAGATAAAATGCCAGGATAGCAGATGGTGATCCACATGGACCTTAAAATTACCTAGCAAGATGTTAGGGCTTGAGGTGGAGTGGAAGAGTGTGAGCAGGTGTCAGAGTCTTCAGAAAATGTGCCGATTGTTAACCCAGAGGTTGGTAGTAGATGACATTTGTAAGGGAGCTTAAAGACAGTGATGGTAGGATGGTCAGACACACCAGAGAAGAGTAGTTTTCCTGAGGTGGCAGGGGTAATGTTTTGGAAGCCGCATTGGAAAGAGTGAAGAGTGCTGACTCTATTCTCTGCCCTGGACACCAGGGGGAAATGAATAGTCTCAGCTGTCAGAATTATCTTTCTAGTAAGGAAATCTGAAACCATTATTCTACCCACTTAAAACCTTTTCACAACTCTTTATCGTCTACACTATTAAGTCCTTAGTATTATAAGCTCTTGAACCTGGCCCTTCCCTGCATTCTCTAACCCAACCTTTTACTTTGCTCCTGTTGAATCTTACATCTGCTCAGGCCAAACCACTTGCCATTTTCCAAAGCACGCTGTATACAGCTCCCCATGTGTGAAAGCCCCCATTGCCCTACAGCCCATTTCTCACTGACGCCTTCTCTTCTTCCAAGACTGAGCTCACTGTCACCTATGTTAAGGAATCTTTTCTGAACTTCTGTGTAGATCTGGCCTCTCCCTCTCTTAAATCCCAACAGGGCCCTGCACATGTTTTCATCATAGCATCTTTAACACTTAATTGTACTTGTGTTTATGATTTCGAGGTCCATGAGGACAGGCACCGATTTTTATTTATATTTGCCACTCCAATGTTAGGCACTTAAGAATGCACTCAATAAAAACTTGTTGACTAAATGAATATCCAGATTCTGAGTTCTACTTTCAACTTCTTGTCCTTTTCTGATACATCTCCCAAACAGCCCTTTAGTGGCATATTTTTGTCATGCACTGTATTTCAGTCTTTCTGATCTGCTCTTTTTCTTTAAGTCTTTCTTTTTTTTTTAGGAACTCTTGGCTTATTTAATAGGAGGCTCCAAGTGCAAATTGCCAGTTATAAAAACAGTCATGGGGATGTAAAGTACAGCATATGGAATATAGTTATTAATATTGTAACAACTATGTATGGTATCAGATTGGTACCAGACTTATTGGGGTAATCACTTCATAAGGTATATAAATGTCTAATCACTACATTGTATATGTGAAACTAATATTGTATGTCAATTGTAATTGAAAAATGAATTTAAATATATATATATATATATAACTACAAAACAAAAAATAACAGGAGGCTCCAATAACCTCTCTTGGTCCATCCTCTCTCCTGTTTCTTATCCAGAAGTGAGAGGTCCATTTAATTTCTGGTTATACCAATTTCTCCCCATTTATACCCCAATTGTAATATTTTGAACACTAAAAGGGAATACAATTTCTACGTAAGAGTCACAAACATGAGCAACATTTGCCAAGCATAGTTCTGTATCCTGTTATATAGCTATAGTTTTGCCTTACTTTAGTTTGGAGTTTTTGGAAGATTCAAACATGTTTTGACCTGGAATGGGAAGAAGGCAAAGATTGCATCCTAATGGAAATCATCAGGGTCAGTATCCCAGGGATCTCAAGCAAAGTTAGGGATCCTGGTTCAGAATTGCAATTTAGGGAGAACTGTTATTCAGTATTTATTTCTAGAATGTCAGAGTAGTCACCATACAGACAGTCTATTTGAGCCTGTCTCCAGAACCAGACCACCTGGGTTTGCTATTCATTAGCTGTATGACCTGGCGCAAGTTACTTTACCTCCTAGTGCCTCAGTTTCATTATCAGTAAAATTGAGGTAATGATAGAATTTACCTCAGGGTTATTTTGAGGACTGACAAGTTAATGCAGTACTTTGAACAGTGCATGAATATAATAAGTGAAATGTTAATGCTTAGCTTTTTTTAACCACGTTATGAGAATCTCTGTACAAGATACAGAATCAAAATTTTAATTAGGCAGTCCTATTTATGCTCAACGTTATATAACACATTTCAGAAATTTTCACATTCTATGCCCCGCCTCCTAATGCTACGGTAATAACAAAACAGCACCGTCTTAAGTCTCCCTCCGCTGTCTAAACCTGCCATTTTTTGTCTCGCATACCATCCGTTTAGAATTAACCCGGGAAATAATGAACGGAGAGCTTCGTTTGCTTATTTGTAGTCCGCGCAGATAACTAGAACCAGCGGATGTCCCGCGCATCCAGGAAGGAATGGTCAGGCGATGCCTGGACGGGGCAGGGCCAGGCCAAAGGAAGCCACACCCTGTCCCTGTCCCGCCCCAGTGGGCGTCACTGACCTCTTACCCGGGGACCCCCGCAGAGACCGGAAGTGCGGCCCTTCGAAGGCGGGGAAAGGTGACGTAAGGCGGAGCCCCGGGCGGCGGCCAATGGGATGCGACGGTCCGAGAGGCGAGGCCGGAAGAGAAGAAGTCTAGTTCCGGACGCGGCCGCCTCGGCCGCCGCCGCCATCTGTCACTTCAGCCGCCCCCCCCACGACCCCGTCGCTCCTGCACCGTCGCCTGTCTCCTCAACCGAGGCAGCTTCCCGGTCCTGCCACCTCTCTGCTCTGTTCTTGCTTGCTGCTTGCCCCACATGGATCTGGTCGGAGTGGCATCGCCTGAGCCCAGGCCGGCAGCGGCCTGGGAACCCAGCAAGGTGAGTGGTGGTCGGGGCCGACGCACCTGCCATGGTCACCTGGGCCAGTACTCTTGGGGAGCCCAAAGAGAGTGGCAGGCGATTTGGGAAATGGTGAGCGAGACCCCGGTAGCCTGGGAAAGGAGGGGCCGGAGGCAAGGCTGCTTGGGTGGGGGTGAGAGAGGTGGGGAGGGGGCCCCGGCTGCCAGAGGCCACCTTGGCCGATTTGGGGTCTTTCTAGGTCTGCCCCTTGCTTTCTGAACCTCCGTAGCGTATTTGTGGGCGGGACTCACTTAGATACATTGACGTTTGAGGGAAAACAAGTATGGACTTGTTTTTCACGGGCCAAGTGAGTCAGCCCAATCACCAGAAAGCCCGGTAGAAAGGTGATTTAAGCAGCTGTTTCCTTAAACTTGACAAGCGTGATTATACTAATTGGGCAGTTTCTTGTTTTTTAAGGAGTAAAAGAAACCCAGGAGCACCCTTTCTCCTCCCCAGGCTAATCAGTACTCAGGTGTACACTACATACTGTAAAATGGTTATGAATTCTTACATAACGTTAAGGTTTTTCCTATAATGGCCAACTATTACGTTCACTTCACACTTGGCTTCTGGTTTTCAGGTTGCTCCTTTTCATGATACTTTCACTAGAAGGCTGAAAAGACTCTTCTGCCACTTTATTGAGGGTTTGATTCAGTTGGGATTTTGTGTTCCTCAAATTAAGGTTGCGAAGGAATCAAACTTTTTAATAATTGTTTTATACATGTTAACACAGAATATTTGTCCCGTGTGAAGTGTCACTTGTTAATCTTATTGGATCTTCATACCAGGTCTTAACAGAAAAAGGGGGAAATAATTAGCGACTAAGTAAGGGAAAATTAATTTTATGAAAGTTCCCATACAACTGTAGGGAGAATCTAAGATCCTCCATTGGCAAATGTTATATCTACATGTTATTTTGTGTATTTATTTTTTCTATTAAGGCTTTACTTACAAGGCCAAGATTAGTAGGCATAAAAGAACAAAATCAGTAGATATATATTAATAAATATGTACTCTACATGTAAATTCCTCCAGTTAAGCATCTATAAAGTCTGGTAAAAATGTCAAATGAAACCCAACTTTGCTCAGAGTACCTAATCTCAGAACAAATTTCACTTACAAAAGTAATTCAATAATAAAATACTTCATATCAGTCATATTTTCATTTATATGCACATCAAAACTATAAAGTTTAATCATTCAACAAAAAAAAACATCTTGGGTTTACTGATATTTTATTGGGAAGATAGCATTTTCACAGCAAAACATTTAGAAAGATGTTGCAAGTTTCACTTAATCCTTTTCTTCTCTAACCTGTTGGAAGACTAAAGTGATAAGTCTACATAGAGGAGGTGGAGATTAGAGGAAGGTCTTGAAAAATGGAAAGAATGTTAAAGGCCAGAGATTCTCAAAACTTTCAGTTAGGAGTTCTTTATACTCTTAAAAATCATTGTGGACCTAGAGAACTTTTGTTTATATTGATGATTGCTATCGATATTTGTCATATCAGAATTTAAAACTGCAAAATTGAAAATGGTTTATTACGTGACTTAAGTCACATGTTAATATAAATAACATATTAAAAAACACCATTTTCCAAAACAAAAAAATTAGTGAAGAGAGTAATACTGTTTTATATTTCTGTCTTTTTAATGTCTAATTTAATAGAAGACAGCTGGATTGTCATAGCTCCTGTTTTTTCTTTCAGTCTATTGCGATATGTTTTGGTTGAACAATGCGAAGAAAATCCAGCCTCACAGATATGTAGCTTATTGCAGGTATAATAAAAAATGGGTAATAAGAGCACAGTAGGTAGACATACTGAAAACAAACTGAGTTAACCCCTAAAAATGCACATTTATATCCTAAACCTACCACCTTAGAAAATTTTGGAAAATGCAAGAATACATAATAAGCACACATTCCAGTAGCCATGAGAGTGATGTCATAGCTGATATAGACTTTGGAAAACTCTACTCCACACTCTTGAGAGAATGAGAGTGGAATGTCTTAGTGCTATTATGAAAATGATTTTCACTTCACAGGCACCCTGAAAGGGTCTCGGGGTATCATTTATAAAATGCCAAACAGCTGTTATGGATAGTGCTAGGGAATATTCCAAGAAGAGAGGATTGGCTAACTTGTAGGCAAAAAGTGAGGAAGTGTGTAGCTCTGTTGGAAAGGGAGCTGTAAAAAATTAGTGGTGCGCCTCAAAACTGTCAAGGTCATCAAAACAAGGAAAGCCAGAAACTCACAGCAAAGAGGAGCCTAAGGAAGACACGATGACTAAATAGTATGTGGTATGCCGGGCGGGATCTGGAATAGAAAAGGGACATTTGGGGAAAACTAAGGAAATCTGAATACTCGTAAAGTATGGATTTTAGTTAATAGTATATAAATATTGGTTCATCACTTGTGACGAATACACAATACTAATACAGGAGAAACTGGGTATGAGATATTTGGGAACTGTATTATCTTTATAATTTTTCTATAGATCTAAAACTACTCTAAAATTTAAAGTTAAAAAAAAAATCCCACATAGATTAGTGTTGTATAGACCCAGACCATGTTTTCTAGAGACCCTTGTCTTGAGAAGTAAAATCACCCACTTATTCTGTCCAGATTATCTCTTCTAGCTGCATAGGTAGAAGAGGGACCTTCCTGTTGGTATGGTTCTCTTGCCTGCCTTCCAGTTGAGGACTGAGTTTTTGTTACTGCGTGCCTCCTTCATGTTTGCTGTTTTTTATTTTACTTGATTGTTTCCCCATAATTGTCTACAGTAAAAGCTTTAAAAAAAAAAAAAGTGGACTGGGCAGCCAGGGACACATCTTTAGGAGCTGGAAGGAAACGGGGACTGCAGAATGTAATGGGAGTGAAGTAGCGAAGGTAGCAGAGTGCAATGGTGGTACTTTCCCAGAGGAGAGAAAAACAGGGTTTTTCAGCAAACAGGAAAAAAGGAATTAGAGCTGGCTACAGGCTTGATAGATGTTATTTAAAGCAGAAAAACTAATTGGAAAGAATTGTGTGAGGTTTCCCATTAGCTCTTGATGCAATGGGGAGTTTATGTTGAAGAAGGGAATAGTGGGAAATGACATTATTGGACAGCAAAGGTAGAGAAGATGACGGAGGGCTTTTTTTTTAATCTCTTTAGATTTATTATTATTAATTATTATTTTTATTATTATTCCCCTACATACATCCCATGGTGCCCATTCCTAGGAGGAGCCCCTAGTAAATATTCTAAGCCCCCCTTGGAATGGTGAATCTCTTGTGCTGTGGTAGATTGCCCCTGCTCAGCAGCTGTCCCTTACACAGCTCAAAAATTTTTATGGAGGGCTTTTGACTGCTGGTTTGAAGAGTTTGGACTTGATCGAAGTATGGGAGTTGGCAACCTTTTGGAAGTCTTTACTTGTTACCCTTACCAGACGAGCTCAGCTGGGCTGGCTGCTGAGGCACAGGGAAGTACAGCTCTAGACTCGAAGGCTCCAAGGAGCAATAGCAGTGGGAGTGGGCAGTAAGGGTGTCTTGGTGTCCTCTGTGGTCTCCATATGTTTGTTTCCCTTTCTGATTCAGCCTATTTTGGGAGTAGGTAAATATCTGCCTCATAATTACAGTGACTACCTATCATTTTTGCATCTTCCAAGGAATTATCAGCTAACTTTATGTAACCCTCCGTCAGGCGCAACTGATCTCACCGATTCGTTGTACGCAAAGATGCTGCTATGAAATAGGTCTTTACGGTACTAAGTCACAAACACGACTGGCGATAGGTTACGGTACAGGGGAAGATACGGAAGCGATGAGTCACGATACTTAAGTTAATTGTTAGAGATTTGAAAATTTATGTGCAATGAATCTGTGAGATCAGTTGCACCCGATGGAGGGTTAACACGATAGTGAGGTTAATTGACTGCTGGCAAAAGACTAGAAACATTAGAAGTGGGTAGGCAAAGGGGCCAACTTGAAGATGGAAAAGAGGATTTTAGAATCGTCTGGATGTAGAAAGGCACCAGGCCTCCACAGCCTACGGACTACCTGACATTCCATGAAATATCTCCAGTGCTTCCTTTTGGTACATATTCAGTAAATGCTGGAGTGCCTCTTTATGTCTGAAGCTCTATGCCAGGTTCTTGAGAATGAGAAAACCCTACCTTTCAAGAGGTTCCTGCTGTGTTGTGGCTGATGGTGACTCTAATACAGTGATTGGTCCTGCTCAGACAGAATACAGTGAGTGGTATGGGAACGCAAAGGAAAGGATCTGATTTTGTCAGACAGCCTTCTGGAGGAGGTGACATTTAATTGGGGGAAATAGAGAAGGAAGAAAAGGCACTGAGAGAGAAGAGAGAGCATGTGTAAAGGAATGGAAGGGTGGAAGTATGCCATGTTTGGCATATAATTAGTGTTGCTAGAGCATAGGGCAATGAGGGTAATTGAGACTGGAAAGTTAAGTTAGGTCAAGTTGTGAAGGGCATTTATTACTGAGGAATTTGAATTTTAGACTGCAGGTAGTACAGCAGTTTGCTTCTCACATCCCAGGACAAAGTGATTAGAGAAACAGTAAACAGTACAGCAAAATGCTACTAAGAGTGCAGTCTCTTAAGTCCTACTCACCTGGTTCAAATCTCAGCAGTTCCATCTACAGTGTTATCTTTGGTTAAAAAACAAAATAAAAAAAAAGCTTTCTGTGTCTCAATTTCTAAATCTATAAAATGGGGATGATATTGCAACTACTCAGTTGTGAGTTAAATAATCTATGTAAATCATGTATATTTAGCCAAGTGATTCAAAATAGTGAATTTTTGTCTGTTATTCTACTATTAATCATTGCAAAATGTGATTGACAATTCTGAGTTAGAGAGTACAGTTACTTGCCTTTGGAACCTGGATTTTGAAACTGATCAGACCAAGCATTTCTAGGCTGAGGCAGCATTATGTCTTCCACCTAGAGGATTCAAAATTACTAGGTCAGCAGAGTCTTATGACCAAAAGATTAGCTAGCTGTATTTCCAGATTACAGAGAGCTTCAAGATTCCAGCCCTCAAAATCTTCACCAGGAGTGCTAAACTGCTGTAAGGTCTGAGTTAATCAAGTCACACCAGCCCTTGAGGGAGCCTCCCTTTTCTCCAGGTCAATCCTGCAGTAGGCTAGCGTGAGCTGGGTGCATCTCAGCAATCTCCGAGTGAGACTAGGTAAAACTTGATTCTGATTCACTTAGGCATAAAGGTAGTCATCATTTATCACCCTTAAGTGCTCCACCCTAACAGCCCGAACCAAGTAAATTACCAACTCAGTGCTGTGGAACTTGAACAAGGATCAGTTGCCCAGTTGTCTCTGGGAGTCACACCAACAGGCCCTTAGGCCAGCTTTAGACCTTTTACTGGCTGGCGAAATGTGATTAAACAGTTTTGTGGCTACAACAGATATCATATACTGTATTCCAAATCAGACAGTAGTAGTTAAGGAATGAGTTTGGACTTTCTCCTAACAGCAGTAGTAAACATTAAAACAATGAAAGAGCTTTAAGTAAGGAAACTGGACCAATCAACTCTGCATTTTAGAAAAACCATTGTGTCGCGGTGTGGCTAATGGAAACAAGCAGGATTGGATGCAGAAAGATGAGTTAGGAGGCTCCTACGTCTTATAGTAGCCTGGTGATGGGAGGGTGATACCTTGGAATAGAATCTTGGAAGGGGAGCTGGGCGTGTTCAAGAGATACTTAGACATCTTATTTAATATTAATGGTCTTAATCACTATACTATCAAATGTAATCATTTGCTAAGTAAAGCTTGCCCCCTCAAAAATTAAGAATTGTGAAATAAACCTACAGTTTGTATTTCAAGAGGGCTGAGATAGTGAAGTCATTAAGCAAGGCCGACTGGCTAGCCACCCAAGAAGAGTCTCACAGAATATTACTTTGCTCTTGTGATACTGTTTCAAGACTCTCAGCTTCCAAAGTTCAGAAATATAGTTTTTATTGTTTGTCATTGTTATTTTTGTTTTAGCATATCCCATGATATCTTGAGAGAGGCTGACATACACTTCTTACATGTAGAAGACTTATTGCTTAAATTAGAATGAGGTATAACTTCTAAGTGGGCTTTGAATTGTGCCAGTCGCTATATAGTCTGTTCCTATAAGAGAAATTATAAGCAGAAGATTGCTTGGTGATCATGGAATTGGAACAAGGGGCATTACATGAACTCATTGGCTAGTGGAGTGATGCTGTCAGGTTGTCAGAAAAGTCATGACGCATTTTTGCAACGAAAAACAGAAAAAATACATCATGACTTTTCCAACAACGCAATATATAATAGCCTGATGCTTCCCCTCAACTAAACGGACACAACCTACCAAAAGGTTAGAAAGTAATTCTGCTTGTTTGACTTTACATTATCCTTGATTAGATTTGAGCTAGCAGATAGTTTTACTTTTAAGATGATTTGTGCAAGTAGGTACTCATTCATGTTGGGTTTATTTAACTAGTTTAATCTCAAAAGATAACCTTATTTCCAAGTTTGAAAGGTACTTTAATTTCATTATATGAGTTGAATTTTCATTGTTGTTGTTTTGTTTTGTTTCAAACAGTGTCCATGGGCTACCCCTCAAAATACAATATCTTCTTTGGCTGATGTAATGAGTGAACAGTTGGCTAAAGAACTGCAATTAGAAGAAGAAGCTGCCACTTTTCCTGAAGTTGCGTAAGTAAAATTTACAAAGAATCTATTTTGTCTAGCAGCTTATAACAAAGTTTTAGGATTTGATTAGTGATTGTCATGACAAGTGATTAAGAAATACATTCAGAAAAGCAGTACTATAGCAAGAGCACCGTACGGGGAGTCCACTGATATTTGAGTTTTGGTCCTGATTCTGTGATGAGTTTTCAGTATTATCTTGGGCAAACCACTGCTTCTCTAGATTTTAGTTATTGCAAAAGTTGAACCAGATGGACTCCAAATTAGCAAACAATAAAGTAGGGTACGGTTTTGATCAGATGTTTGTAGTTTCTCTTTTATCTCTTCTTTGATCAGAGCACAGAACAAATGAATTCTAAGTCTCAGTTTGGATTTTATTATAGACCCTTTAACTTTCCATCGCAGCTTTCTTAATCCTAGTTGGTGCTGTCATGGGTCCCTGCCATTGGTCAGAGGGCAGGTGGGCAGGAGAAGGTGAATGGTTTGGTAAAGTTTTTTCCCTTTGTTTCTTCAGTACAATTTTTAACAATGAAAAGCACATCCTACTCATAATTGGTAGCATCTGTTTATGCAACCACATTATGTTAGTTTATATTGCCTTATTTTGAATAGTGTTGCTGAAGGACCATTTATTACTGGAGAAAACACTGATACTTCCAGTGACCTTATGCTGGCTCAGATGCTACAGATGGAATTTGACAGAGAATATGATGCACAGCTTAGGCGTGAAGAAAAAAAATTCAATGGAGATAGCAAAGGTACTATGACCTTATTGTGACAACTGCATTGGGTGGTAAAAAGTGCTTGTAACGTGCTCCTGAATAAGACTTCAACTGTTTTGCCTTTTAAGTTTCCATTTCCTTTGAAAATTATCGAAAAGTGCATCCTTATGAAGACAGTGATAGCTCTGAAGATGAGGTTGACTGGCAGGATACTCGTGATGATCCCTACATACCAGGTATCAATGCTTTTATTTTCTGAGGGTGGGCAGGCAGAGGGGTAGAACGGGAACATAGGAAGACTAAGTTTTTCAATGAATATTTGTATTTTATATTTGTCTTTGAATTGCGTTTGGAATTAACTGTTAAATTCAGATATCTTTTCAGACAATGTTGAATGTAGTAATTTAGTCTTTGCTATTTTTACATACTTGGTTTGTCTTACTTGCCTTCAGCAAAACCAGTTCCTACTCCCAAAAAAGGTTTTATTGGAAAAGGAAAAGACATCACCACCAAACATGATGAAGTAGTATGTGGGAGAAAGAATACAGCCAGAATGGAAAATGTAAGTTACAGAAAGTATTATCTCTGAATCAAGAGTTTTATTAGAATAAGTTAACATCAGATTCTAAATATGATATCTTAAATTTCTAAAAATATCCTTTGTCCTTTCTAAAGATGTTTTAGATGATAATATAGCAATACTGTGAAGACTCTTGGTTACTAATGAGAATATAATGTACTGCAGAATAAAATTCCTCAAAAAAAAAATAGCTTGATTTATATATTGATTCTAAAATTAAGGAATTGTTCTTATGAAAAGTAATATATTTATTGTTCAGCATATTATTTTTCATAAAATAACATCCCTAACCAAAAATAAGTAACAATGGTGATTGGGGGCTAGGGCTAGGAATGGGAGAAATATTTCCTATTATATCCACTTTTATACTTTTTGAACTTTTTATCTTGTGCCGGAACTACCCTGCAAAATCAGAAATAAAATTTAATCTTTTTTTTTTTTTTTTTTGTAATTGGGGAATTGGGGGGGATGGGAACAGTGCTGGGGAATTGGGGGAAGGGGAACAGACAAGTTGCTGTCGTTTTTTTTTGTTCTTCAGTCTAGTTGTGGAGGAAGTTGCTTCACTGGCCCAAGTTGGCACCATCATTGCGCTCTTCCCAGGCGAGGCAGATCAGTCGCCGGCTTCTGGACGGCCGCTCACTGCGGCTGTTGGCCGCTCACGCTGGCTGCTGGCTACACATGGTAGCCCATGGTAACCCACTGCCACAGGGACTGCAGCCCACGCCGTCGCCAGCGACTCACAGCAGCCCAGCTCCAGGTTGAGCTGTTGTTCAGCATCTTAGCTATGGAGGGCAGTGTCACTGGCCCTCATATGTGGGATCCGAACCGGGGCCCTCTGGCATCCCTAGCCAGTTCTTAACCATCGCGCCACTCGGCTGGCCCTAAAATTTAATTTTAAAAAAATAAGAGAAAAAGGAGAAAAAATAGCATTCTTTCTCGTTATTAAATATTGTGGTTAATATAAAACATTTAGACTTGACACTAACACTTTTTAAGTAAACCTATTATTAAATTCTAGAAATAATCCAGATCTGATTTTAGAATATTCCTGTCCAATGGAACGTTCTGTGATAGTAGAAATGTACTATAACTATGCTATCTAATATTGTAGCCATAATTGACAATTGAGCACTTGAAATTTGGGTGGTGCAACTGAGAAACTGAATTTTTAATTTAATTAATTTAACTTTAAATATCCACATGTGGCTAGTGGCTACTATATTGAACAGTTTAGCTCTAAAACATAATTGTCATGGTATGGGCATAGCTTGCTATACTAACCACTCCTCAACAATAAATATGAAATTTCTTTGGTAAGATTTGGTGTAGCCTTCAAAATATAATGTGTCCTTTGTCTGATAAAAAAGCAAGGTACAAAGTATATGCTGAAGTACCTTAGTTTTCAGATGTGATTGGATGTTTTCTATGCATAGAATAAACCTCTTGCTTTGGGTTGCAATTTCTTAAATAGCCCTGCTGTCCTTCCTCTTGTGTTCATTAACGAGTCATTTTATTTTTCCTCTATAATACCAATGGGTTCTGCTTTCACAGCTTGATCATCTATTGAGTAGGAAACCTGTTCCAACTACAGACTCATCTTTTTGTTTTTGCTGTCCCAATTTTCAAGTTATTTCAGATGCTAATTCTTTTTTTTGGCAGTTTGCACCTGGGTTTCAGGTAGGAGATGGAACTGGAATGGATTTAAAATTACCAAACCATGTTTTCAATGCTTTAAAACAACATGCCTACTCAGAAGAACGTCGAAGTGCCCGCCTTCATGAGAAAAAGGAACACTCTACTGCAGTAAGTAATCTTACATTTTTTCTTTGATGGAAAGATTCAGATTAGAAAACTTCATGTTTGGGGAAAAAACAAAACAAAATTTTATGCTTGATATTTTGTTCATGAGATTGGCTTTTGAAATCAAAGATGTAAATAAAACTCAAGTAGCTTTGCTTATTTGCTTTCAGATTTAATGTGATGGTTATTAATCACGTATTCAAACCTAACAGTTTAAGTGGTCATAATTAATTTAGGATGTATAGTTTACATTGCGAATGAATGTTCTAAGATTTTAAAGAATTGTTTTCTGTTACGCTATGATATATTTGTAACAATTTAAAAGTCTCTAATGTTTTATATTAATGAAGATAATATGTAATATCTTGAGAATAAGCTAATTTTTAAACCTTTAGAAAAACAAACTAATACTAAATACACTAGGAGCGCTATTAAAACTTTTGAGATAAAAATAAGATTTTGACTAAGCTAATGTCTGACTTTTAATGGTTCTTTTAAATATTCACTTTCAAAGACAGTAGAGATATATAGTTACAGGAAGAAATTGGATCTTGACAGCCCTCTTAAGAGCTTGTTTCAGTAAACTAGTGAAAGTAAAAAAAAAGTATATATTTTGAATGTTAGATACTAGAAATGACACAAAAAATGTTTTGTAATTAACATTTTCACTTACAGTGTTTATCTCTTGCAGGAAAAAGCAGTTGATCCTAAGACACGTTTACTTATGTATAAAATGGTCAACTCTGGAATGTTGGAGACAATCACTGGCTGTATTAGTACAGGAAAGGAATCTGTTGTCTTTCATGCATATGGTGGGAGGTAAATGAGCAAAATACAATACCTATATGTCAACAAAAGCTTAGCCTTTTCTCCCCATAATGAATGGATTTACACAAAATCAAAGTTAATTCTGCATGGGAAGCAGAGTAATTTTAAAAATGTTATTGTAGAAAATCTAGGCAACATAGGTTGTCTAAAGAAAAACACCATTATCTTAATCCCACCATCCAGAGATAAGCATTAATAATTTTGTGTAGACTCCTTTAGTCTTTTTTTCTATGCATATATTTTATTTATTATTATAATCATCCTATATCATACAGGCAGCTGTAAATGGCAGCAGAGCACAATCTGAACCTGGGTTTGTCTCAAAACCCATGGTCTTTCTACTGTAGATTTTTCAGGGAATAAAGTGTGACATGTTTTTTACTCTCAAAGAGCTTATGGCACAGCCAAAAGGAGAACATTACAGCAAGAATTATTATGGTCAATAAAAGATAATTACATAATAGAGTACGCCGTTACATCAGTGAGACTTTGTAGTATGGGATAGGAATAGAGAGCAGAGCAAGATTATTGCTGGTCATGTGCAGGATGGAGGTCATGATGAAGTTAGATCTCAACCTGGATTTTAAAAATAGGCCAAAAATATGTATATATTGTGTATAAAAACCTAGTAGCAGAATATATGCATTTATTTAAATTTTTAGAATCACACAGAAAATATATATGGATTTTTAAAAAATATATAAATATGTATTATATATATATATAATATATAAATACATAAATGCTTATGTATGTGGACACTTGTGTATGTATCTTTTTAAAAAGATGAGAAAGAGACTATTCATGATGGTGATTGCCTCTGGAGAGGTAGAATAAGAAATGAAACTACCTGGGATGGTAACAAAGGGAACTTAAGCTTTATCTGTAATGTTTATTTCCTTAAAAATAAAAGGACTGAGAACAAAGGACTAAAGCTTAGGCATTGAGAAGATTTAGATGGCATATACAGAGGGTGCCAAAAAAATGTATACATGTTTTAAGAAAGGAAAATACTATTAAAATGTAATACAATGAATGACGCTAGCATTCATTTGGTTAATGCCATCTTTTGAGTGTGATATTATACATTGCTACTATAATTTAGTTCAACTTCAAAAGAAATACATAGATAACATCTCTTAAAATGTGTACATTTTCTTGGCACCCCCGGTATTTAGAGGTAATAGGATATAAAACTGTATAGGCAAACCGGAAATTTCTAAGGAAATTAATAGCTAGGCAGAGAGTTCTGTAATTTACTAAGAAACAAGGAAGTTTTTTTAGTAAATGACAAGATTAATCTTATAAATTAGATTCTATTCTAGAGACCTTCCAAGTAAGGAATCTCCTCAGTGGTACTTCTGATAGGGCATCATCTACCTTATGGTTAAGCTATTCCAGTGACAGGGAGCCCATCATCTCAAAATATTGTAAAAAAATGTCTGTAACATCTTTAATGGAAATTTCTTCCATGTATAGAATTTCTAACCTGTCTCCCTAAAATTTGATTCATCAATTCACCAAGTATTTGTACAGCTAGAATGTGCCAGGTACTCTTCTAGAAACTGAGGATACAGTAGTGAATGCTAAGCAAGGAAGGTCCCTGCTCTCGTAGAATGTGCTTCTTCACCCCAACCCCCTTCCAAGACAATAATATAAAAAATATCAGATATGTGCTATGGTGGTTAAAATAGGGTAATGTCAATGAGTGGCTAACTACTTTTTATTAGTAGGACAGGGAAGGCTCCTCTGATGGTGACATTTAAATTAAGATTTGAATGACACATCTAGGATACAGTATAAAGATTATATATATATATACACACACACACACACACACGCGCATATAGAAAATAAATTATATGGCAAGAGAAGATTCAGATCAGTTAAAAAGTTGTAATAATCTTAAAAAGTTACTGTAATAGTTTAAATGAGAGATAATAGCATTTTGGACTAAGGAAGTGGTAGTGAAAATGACTAGGAGACCATTTGTATGTGTTTTGGAGGTAAGAGCCAGCACTGCTGTTGGATTGGATGTGGGGTATGAGAGGATAGATGCTTGGCTAGAGCAGCTGGGTGGTGCCACATACTGAGGTAAGAGCCTGGGGAAGGGCAGGTTTAGGGTACAGTTACAAAGAATTCTGTTTTGGACATGTTAAGTTGGAGATACCTGCAAGACATCTAAATGGTGTCAAATAGGGATCAGATAAATGGGCTTCAAGTTCTGGAGAAAGGACTGAGGATAGAAATGTAGGAGTTATCCATATATCGAAGATATTCTAAGCCATGGGGCGAAATAAAATTTCCCAGGAAGAGAAGGCAGTCTGGAAGAGAAAGGGGTTACTTAGAATCAATTGGAGTACTCTAACCTGAGGCTGACTGGAGGAGCAGGAGTTAGCTGGGAAGATATGGTACCGAAGGACGGTGTTGGGAGTTTGAGTCAGATTCTGTCCTCTGGAAATAGAGTTCCTTTCTTTTCCACATTAACATTCCTTCAGATATTTAAGGGTAAATATTGTTGTCTCCTCTTCTATCCTCCTCTTCATTTGCACTGCCACCACCATGATTCAAATACTTGCAGTGGCTCACTATTGTGGGACCGATGCATTAGCATCCTAAGTAGGCCCCATACCACTGGCCACTCCTCCCTTCGTCATGACTTGTCATCAACTCAATCTTCATGAAGGTTTTCACGCCCTTGGTAATTCCTGCTACCTTTGGGAATACCTGTAGGCGTCTCATCCAGGCAGAGTTCTTTACATACCTGCCTCCATCCCATCCTTTTAGCTCTAACTTCTTTCATTTCCTTTCTCCAACCAGTGTTTGTCATTCCTTAGACATGTTCTGTAGTTTCCTACCTTTGCTTTTGTTAATACTGTGACTGCACTTGTTCGTATTCTACCCACTGTCCTAGTTCTGTTTCAGTTGCCATGAAGCCTTGTCGGACCTTTCTAATCCAAAGGGACCTACCTGTTCCATTCATGTACTTTTATTCTCCCCGCCCCTCCTTGCATACTCATAGGGCAGGGATCACACGTAAACTGGAGTCTATTTTAAAATGTGTATGTCTTCATTGATCTTTGAGTTTGATTCCATAGTCATTAACTGAAGATTATGGATTGTTGAAAATTGGTTGACAATTTATTTGAAAGTATGTTCGATTTAAAAAAAACAATACCTAAGGTTTTATTTAGATCCCAAACTTGAAAGCTTAAAAAAAAAGGCTTGTCATTCTCAGATATAGTAGATCTACGTAAGTGTCATAGAATCTTTATTTTGAAATTGTTTTACTTGTGAGCTGGTAACTTATACTGACTTAATTTTTTTTCTTCCACTTAGCATGGAGGATGAAAAGGAAGATAGTAAGGTTATACCTACAGAATGTGCCATCAAGGTATTTAAAACAACCCTTAATGAGTTTAAGAATCGTGACAAATATATTAAAGATGCTTTCAGGTTTAAAGATCGCTTCAGTAAACTAAATCCGCGTAAGATCATCCGAATGTGGGCAGAAAAAGAAATGCACAATCTCACAAGGTAAAGAAAATCATTGTGCTAGGAGTAACCTTTTTGTGTCAGGCAAAAAAATCCATGCTTGCTTTTAAAGTTGTAGAAAATGGAAGGCCTTGAAATTGTAGTGTTTAATGAAGCTTTCTATAAGAAACATTTCCATGCTTATAAGTATGAATTCATATTTTTAGGCTTAATAAGCTATTTTCTTTTTTATTTCCTCAGTAAAGTTGGAGGGAAATGAAGTATTTTCTGCCTAAGACATTTTGTTATATATCTAAGTGCTGTATTTTTTCAGCTTCCAATTAGGCTTCTTAAATAATGATTTCCCTTTTTGTTTCAGAAAATGTTTACTACATCTGATGTTTGTTTATTTGGTGGGGTGGAGTCTTACCAGTCAAATTGTATTTTGCTTTAATTTATTAGACTTGTTCCTCAATTCTCTAAGCAGAATTTGTCAAGGAATTTGTTTTATCAACCAAGTAATTTAGTAATCTTATTAATAAACCTTCCCATATATCTTAATCTATTAAAGGCTTAATTTTAGTTTCTTTTTTCTAAAGATGTTTGCTTTCCAATGTAATTACCCATATTTATTAGTTGCAAAATTCTTCTACTTAGTAGGACTTCTGAGTAAAATAATTTCCTAAGAGGCCTTGCTGCCTTTCAATCTCTTCTATACTATTCTTCAGCAGCCCCTGTAGTCTTCAATGTAAAGTTTAAAAGTCCTTTTGTGATGTGGAGCCTGTTTTTGTAGCCTCAGACCACACTCCCCTTCCTCTTACTCAGGATCCAGCTGTTTTGATTTCTATACATTCCCCAAATGGAATGTGCTCTTGAACGCCTCCATGCATTTCCAAATGCTGCTTCCAGCCTTAAACCAGCATTTCCACAGCTGTCTTAATCTGGCTAATTCCCATTCCCCCACTTCTTCTAATAAGCTTTACTTGACTTTGTGTGCCCCTATACCTCCTACCCCCACCCCTGCCAGAGCATGTCCCACACGGCACTGTAATCATCTCTGCACCTGTCTGTTTCCACCAGTCCATGGACTCCGTAAGGTCTATGTCTTACTGTCTTTGCATTCCTACGTCTCCAGGGTAGAACATAGTGACAGCTCATTGTTGTTGTTAGATAATTGTTGAACATTGTCTCCTTCTCATCTTTACATTCTTAATCCTTCCTTTCTGTATAGAATGCAAAGAGCTGGAATTCCTTGTCCAACAGTTGTGCTACTCAAGAAACACATTTTAGTTATGTCTTTTATTGGCCATGATCAAGTTCCAGCCCCTAAATTGAAAGAAGTAAAGCTCAGTAGTGAAGAAATGCAAGAGGCTTACTATCAGACTCTTCACGTAAGTTGTGCTTTTCAAAGCATTCACACACCAACTTTTAAAAATACTTTCTCTAAACTTTAAAAAATTTCCTAAAATAGTTCTATTTTACGGTGATATAACAAGGACAAACTGAAGTTTGCAAAGGAATGTTAACATTGAAGAGTTGTCTTTATATCGCTATGTGTGTCTCTTGAACCATTTTAGAAAAATAGACTTCTAGAGCAAATGAAGGCTCAATTGTTAGCACCAGTGACATAAAAGCATGAAGCTATTATTTACAAAATTCATTAAATAGGATTTGATGTTACTACATTTAGCAGATACAGTGTCTCATTGGTTTGCATGTCTTGAATGATTATAGCTTTAACAGCAAAGAAATTGCCTTGTTGGGAAATTCGAAGGAAACAGATTTGGACTCATAAGAAAGTGAAGGGGAAAACTAAAGATGGTAGGGAGTGGTTTCTCCATCTGAGCAGGTGTTAGGCAGGCATGTATCAGGAATCTTGAAGTTATTTCTGCTTCGGGACAGAACTGAATTCAGTCTGAGTTCCTTCTAGCTTAAGAAAAGGCTCCCAATGACATCTGTATTGTTTTAATTGAATAGAGGAGAAACATGCTTTTTGCATGGAGCTCGCATGTCTGCAGCAGTTAATGTGAATATGAAAGTGCTATCCAAATTAATTTTTCTAAGATATAGCTAGGGAGATAATCCAACTTTCTCTCAAAAAGGACAACATTCAAAGGAAAATCAAGTCTACTTTTTTGGCTTTTTTGGCGGTGGGGTGGCTGGGGAAGAGATGAAGTAGTGATGTACTTTTCCTATTTGAGTCTATTAAGGCTGGGAAACAAAGCAGTAAGGCTGATTTTCTATAACACTAGCAGTCACCATCAATAATGAATATATAATGTCACTTAATTTATTAAAATGTCTCTTTCCTACTGTGTCTGATGGGAAGTACTTTTTACCTTGGAATTGTATATACCACATAGAGGTCTCAGTGGGCCATTTGCCCTGTTATAAAGGGTCAACCAAGGTCTCCTGGTTAGTGACCATATGCATGGCCACTCTCTTACTCATGTGGACTCCAGGTCTATCCCTTCGCCTCCTGATCTCATTGCTGTCACATGGACAAGGAAATAGAGTGTCACACACTCATCCCCTCCATGTCTCACTGTTTCCCTACCCTACCCTAAAAAAGAAAAAAGCTTGGTTCTAGACCACAAAGAGAAAGTAGGGTTTTTAACCTAGTCTTGATTTTCCTGGATAGTATTGGTTGACATAGACATTTTAGTTGTATGGGTAAATTAGAATTGTTACTTCATTTACTAAATGTCTGCCTTGCCTCCACACAGTTGATGCAGCAGTTATATAATGAATGTATGCTTGTACATGCCGACCTCAGTGAATATAACATGCTGTGGCATGCTGGGAAGGTGAGGAGCGTGTTTTGTTAATGTTCAGATTAAATGACTTAATGTAAATTGCTAACAGTAAACGCTGTATGCTCTGTATTTAAATAGGTCTGGCTGATTGATGTCAGTCAGTCTGTAGAACCTACCCATCCTCATGGCCTGGAGTTCTTGTTCCGTGACTGTAGGAATGTTTCACAGGTAGGCATGTAAATTAATATGGCTTCTTTTCATGGGATTATAACAAATTTAAATATTTTGCTCACTCCTGAGTAAGATATTCCCAGAAATTAAAGGAAGGGTTTGGTTACTGGCTGCTTTCAAGACAAAGATACAAATCAATTTGTCAGGTTTTATTTTTAGTAAGAATTTGATTGCATATCATTGAATTAAATTTCCAGTAGAGTAAGTTTTTAATTTGGCTCCAAGTAGTTAAGCAGTCAAGTAGGTATTTAATACATGTGCAATGCTTAAAGAGATGCTGGCATGCAGTAAGCCTGCATACTTACTGTCATTATCACCATTAAAAGGAGAATAGTGTTCTTAGTGGTACAGTGTCTGATCACTGTTTCTGTGAGGCTGACTAAACAGATTAGAGAAGGTTAAGCTTAGTTATCACAGAGTTACTTCACATTTGTTTGCTGTTTTTAAATGAATTGTTAGCAACAAATTCAGATAGTAATGATCTTTCTGAATGTAGAATAACTTTATATTAGAAATAACTTATGCACTTGTTAGAAAATTGTAATTCATGGGATTTAGTGAATGATTTGAGTCTACACATTCAAAGCAATGCCAAACAATTTTATAAGCCACTCATTTTTATAGCTATAGAAGGTGCAAACTTAATCCAGCTGTAGATTGTGACAAACTTAATCCAAAAGACGGTACAAATGTATAAGAAAGGACAAAAAACAAGTAGAACCTGAGCATAGTTAAACTTGAAGTGGGAAAATTGGTGGTTCAAAACTTACAGAAGGAATTCAGTGGTGTCTTACTAGTATACTATTCCCTGTTTCTAGTTTCTAAGAGAACCTTGCTAATATCTTTTATTGCCTTTCTTATATTTCTTCACTAGTTTTTCCAGAAAGGAGGAGTAAAGGAAGTTCTTAATGAACGAGAACTCTTCAATGCTGTTTCAGGTTTAAACATCTCAGCAGATAATGAAGCGGATTTCTTAGCTGAGGTAAGTTTAGCTATTTTTCACCTCCCTGGTAATGGAGTAATGGGATAGAGTAGATAACTGAAAACGAGAACTAATTTATTCTCTCTTCCCCTCAAAAAACAAAATTAATTTGAGATTTTTCTGGAGATATTTTTGGTCCTTTCCAGGTTTAAACCCTAGGATAGATGTACAGAAAATCTCTTCTTCAAGGAGTTCAGTTTGGTTGAGGTGAACAAATACATTTCCAGTATATGTATTTTCCCTGTTTTATGAAGGAGGAAGTTAACTGGTAAACACTCTGAGTGATACAAAAAAGCAGTAATACATGGTCCTTGCTTTTAACTGAAAATAGGAAGTTAGCAGTTACCCAGTCATTATAATATGGATCTATGGAACCATTAAATAAATACATAAATAAATAAGTCTCCCTCCAGAGATGTTCTCTTAAAATTGAACAAAAATAAAAAGTGAAACAGCAGCTAATTATTTTCCATAATTTACCAAAGCAGAGAATGATTATAGAGTATGTTCCAGAACTCCTCAGTGCTACTTGAATTTGGCCAAGTTGTGCCAGAGCCTAAGGCCGGAGAAGTACCAGAAAGATGGTAAATCCAGCCTCTAGCTCAGTACAGTTACTCAGTAAGTAGGTGTTACTGTTGTTAAATGAACAATGGTATTCCTTTTTTCTATTCCCTGACAACTTTAGAGAGTATGTAGTAAGACATATCTTGATTCCAATTGCAAGCTTGATAAAGATACTAAATATTGACCCTAGAAATATATTCAAGTAAAAAATACACATGTATCATGCTGTAATATATGTATGTGACACACTGTAATATTTATCATATATTGTAATTCTACTTCAAGGCCAGCATCATTAGGAATGACCTTGTTTTAAGAGAGTAAAAATACTAGCTCAATCTCAAGTATGGTTTCTGTAAAGTAGCATTTTGACAAGTGGATGCAATGTATTAATTTTGTAGATAGAAGCTTTGGAGAAAATGAATGAAGATCACATTCAGAAGAATGGAAGGAAAGCTGCTTCATTTTTCAAAATTGATGGAGGTCTGCCAGTCCTACATGATAAATAGCACCAGTAGCCACTGCTTTCAGTGTTAACACAGCGGTGATTATCGGCTGCCAGTGGCAAATGAAATTATGGGTGACTTGAAATACCAAAACATGAGTGTACAATGGTGCTTCTGTGCTTTCCCCCCCGCTTGTAACCCATATGCCAGATGTGTGGAATTTTTAGCTCGGCATTGAAAGAATAAAATGTCACTACCTCTCATCTGATGAACAAGATAATATAATTCTTTAATAGCTACAGGTTGTGTAGCTGAAATAGGCCTGATTTTACAGGATTCATAGTATAACATGTTTTAATGAGAATTTTTAAAACTTAGATAACATTTCCAAATATGAGAGAAAAGGACAAATGTGTTTACAAGGGAGGCCTTTATTACATCATACTTGTTTTTATCACCTCCCTGTTTTCTGTTTCATCTTTCCTCGAATATTTTATTAGTCTGAAATTAGCCCTTCTCAATTCTTTTTGTAGATTGTGACCTTGATTCCAAAGGAAAATTTCTTCTTTTACTAGATGTTATAAATGGAAATTGGGTTTCAGAATGACTGATGGAAATAGACAAGCAAAATCCTTTTTATTGGTACATTATGAATATGAAAATTATTTTCCCTACTCATACCCATGGAAAGGCATCATAGGTTTCTGAGAGAGAGAAATATACAAGAACTTCTTGACCATCCAAAATTTTTAAATTTAACTTTTGGCATTTGAACGTTTAGGTGAAATGGATAGGCTATAACTCATGGTGCAGCTGTTTTGCATTTATAATGAAAATGTAAATTATCTGGAAAGGCAAAATATAAGATTTAACCATGTTTGACATATTTTAATGAAATCAGTGAAACAGTTTATATTTCACTTATTGATTGATTTTGAGAGAAATATAGCAAGCTAACTAGAAATATTAAATAATCAAAGGATGAAAACTAGGTTTAAAACAACTTGGATATGAATGAAATTAACCAACTAATTTGAACTATCTGGCCTCACTTTTAATAATTTTTAGTACTGACTGGATGCCATTTGTTAAATAAAGCAAGCACTATGCTAGAAAAGTACATTGTCTTTGTTAGGATTGAAGTTCATTAGCTACAATGTAATCATTCCTCCTGTTACTGATGTCAGATTGGAATCACTAGAGACCAATCTGGTAATAGAAAGTAAAAATCTAAATAGTATGTTCACTTGAAAACTTCTCCTTTAATATTATTTAAAAATGCCAAATAATGTTCTTTCTAGAAAAATATTTATTTTTGTTTCTGTTGTACAGCTTTTAACTGCATTTCAGAGAAGTGTAATTTGGGGTAGATACTTATTACATTTCTGAAATGTTTACTACTCTGAAACAAAGATTTAAATGGTGATGATTGACTTCACAGAAATTTCAGAGAAATTAACTATTAACCAAAAAACCATTAGCCATTTAAAAGTTTTTTGTTTTGTTTTCTGACATACTCTGTTTGACTAAGCAGCAAACCACTGCTGTGTGGCGTTCTTGGAGTATGCTGTGAACATAGTTTTTAAGAAATTAAAAATGAAGAGATCATTTTAGAATTGGTTCTTTGTGTGGTTTCTTCCTGTTCCTTATATTAACTTATGTCCTGGCACCAGGTTACCCCTTCTGCATAAAATTAAGCAGTTTTGTTTTCACCTAATGTCTCATATTTAGATTTCACTTTTTTTTTTTTTAAAGATTTTTTTTATTGGGGAATTGGGGAATGGGAACAGCGGTGGGGAATTGGGGGAAGGGGAACAGACAAGTTGCTGTCCTTTTGTTCTTCAGTCTAGTTGTGGAGGACGTTTCACTGGCCCAAGTTGGCACCATCATTGCGCTCTTCCTGGGCGAGACAGATCAGTCGCTGGCTTCTGGACGCTCACCGCGGCTGCTGGCTGCTCACGCTGGCTGCTGGCTACATACGGTAGCCCATGGCAACCCACTGCCACAGGGGCTGCAGCCTAAGCTGTCGCCAGCGACTCACAGCAGCCCAGCTCCAGGTTGAGCTGTTGTTCAGCAGCTTAGCTGTGGAGGGGAGTGTCGCCCTCATATGTGGGATCCGAACCAGGGCCCTCTGGCGTCCCAAGTCAGTTCAGTTCTTAACCATCGCGCCACTCGGCCGGCCCTAGATTTCACTTTTAGATGACTTACTTCACATTACAAATGAGTTTATCCTTTCCTATAGATCAGAGAGTAAATTTTCTACATAATGGAAAAAGGAACTGGAAAACGGTTTGCTAGACAAAGAATCAAATACAAATGGAAAAAATCCCATGAAATATGGAAATAAGGATATTGTGCCTCACTTCAATGAAAGTGGATAATAAAATAAGTTATTAAAATAAGGATGACTGTTGGGAATTTTTATCTCAACAAGATAAGTCAGTTTTTCTGTTTACTAAACTAAAACGTGCATGCTCATTTGAATTTAAATATTAAAGAAATTCAGAAATGCTCAATAAAAATCCCTTGTATTCTAAAATCCACTGTTTATAGTGTGACATACATCCCTGCCAATTTTTTCCCTCTTAAAAAAAAATCTTTGGAAAACAAGAACAAAGTGAGGCAGCTGATGGTGAAATGCTGATCATGGTATACCTTGTCCCCACAAAGATGAAGGAGATGGCGGCCCTAAGATTTTTTGCTGTTCATTAGGCTCAGGGCATCAAAAGAGATTTTTGTCTGTACGTTTTGAAATTCTGCAGTTTTCCAGCACTTTAGAAACTGGGTGGGAAAAGCACATCTGATTATATTTTCAAACTTCAATACTTATATTTTTGAAGATACATATTTTTCTATTTGAGTTTTAAAAGGATTCCATAAAATCAAAGAATGATTTGTTTTCAGTTTATTTTATACTTAGAGACATTAGTTTATTCATTTGAAAGCCTCTTGCTTTTATTCTTTGATTTCCTATTTGTTTCCCAGTTTAAAAATATTAAAAGGTTACCTTTGGGAAAGCATTACTCTTGCTGTCCCTAGGCTTTCCAGCATTCTCCGAAACATAGCTAGCTTTTTGAGGAGTTAAGATCAACTGTAGTAGAAAGATAACGTAGCAGATGGAGGGGAAGGTGGGATATTTGTCACAGAATAAGTGAGCTACTACTTATAGTTCTAAAATTTTTTTTTTTGTAATCTCTCTAATGCCTTTTGGGACAGAAGGAACACATAATCAGAACGTTTGACACAAAGTCATAAGAACATTATCATGGTAAAGCATCAAATGAGCCAAGATTTATGAAAAATGGAAAATGTCCAAAAGGGTTTGAAAAGTTAAATGTGAAGCAAGAAACATAAGTCCATTGTTTAAAGTGTTAGTATATTGTTATTAAGTAACAAAAGCAGAACTATTTATCTCCTAGTTCATCTTTTTGAAGTTGTATCATATTTAGAAAATAGTAAAACATTGAACAGAGAAATTGAAGACTGTTCCACAAAATGTGTCCCCCCAAATTCATATGTTGAAACTTAATATGATGACTGTATTTAGAAATAGGGTCTATAAGGAGGTAATAAACGTTGAAATCAAAAGGGTGGGATCTTAATCCAAAAGGACTGGTGTCCTTACGAGAAAAGGAAGAGAAACCAGAGATCTCTCCATGCAAGCACAAAGGCAAGGCCATGGAGGACATACAAGGCTGCCGTCTGCACCCCAACGAGAGAGGCCTCACCAGACACCAACCCTGCTGGCACTGCGATCATGGACTTTTATCCTTCAGAGCTGTGTGACAATTTCTGTTTTTTAAGCCACCCAGTCTGTGGTACTCTGTTATGGCAATCCAAATAGACTAATACAAAGTCCAAGGTAGATACAAAGTTTTTTGGTGGGTGGGTGTTGGGGAGGGCATCCTATTGCTTCAACTGATTCTTAAAATTCTTAAAATTTTGCTTAGATGAAAAATAGCCAAGTTATTTGGGAAATTTTCAGATGAGATTGTATTGGAGCAATAGATAACTAATGTAATTGGTAAAAAGTCCTGAATCAATTCAAAACATTTACCTTTCATGGTCATTTTGACTTTGGGGAAGAGCCAAAAGTCACCTGGTGCCAGATCTGGTGAATAAGGTGGATGAGGACACGCTGTAATGTTTTTGACAAAAATTGCCATACCAGAAGTGATGTATGACACAGAGCCTTTCCATTGTGATCAGAAAATATGGTACAGTCGAGTGCCATCCAACAGGAAGGCAGGGATCTTCAATACAGGAAGTGGCACATTGAACCTCAGTAACAGTGTGTGACACGTTTCAACTTGTTCTGCGCAGTCGGTTGTGAACTCTGGTTGAAAGGTGTGTGTTTTAAAGTGTGCCATAATTCATCCTCCATCATGACAACGCTCTGTGTCACACATCGCTTCTGGTATACGGCAATTTCTGTCAAATAAAAACAGTGTGCCCTCATCCACCTTATTCACCGAAACTGGCACTGTGTGACTTCTGGCTCTTCCCCAAAGTCAAAATGACCATGAAAGGTAAATGTTTTGAATTGATTCAGGATATTGAGGCAGCCATGACAGCTCAACTAAAGACACTTATAAAAGAGGGCTTCCAGAACTGCTTCAGAAAGTGGCAAGAATGATGGAATAAGTGTTTGAAGTGAGGGGGAAGTATTTTGAGGGGAATTAATGGCAATGTCTTTTACTGTAATAAGTTTTTATTTAAACATTTACCATATTGTTTGATCACACCTCATATATATTCCAATAACTCCTAATTTCTATCTTGTCACTTATCTGGTGAGCTTCAGATCTATAAATCTGGATGTCATTCTCCTTGGATTCATAAGTCCAAAATGCAATTCTTGATCTTCCTCACTTCCTTGCCAAACTTCTCAAGTCTATCTTGGAGAATGGTGCCAAAATCCATCCGATTGTTGAGAATGGACACCTAGGATCATCCCTGATCACTCCCTTCCGTCTCTGTTCTATCCACTGAATGAGGAGTTTCCCCCATCCCCTCAAATATCAAAGCCATTCAAAAAACGCTTTCTGACCCGCAATCTAAACTAGGTTTCCCTGTTACATACAGCATCCAGGTGCTGACCACAGCACTCATCTCCCTTAGGAAACCCTTTCAAGAGCAAGGATGAGCCTTCTCTAGACCAGGGTAGCCCTGTTCCACGAGGGCAACCGGCCCCGCGCAAACCTCCCAGGACGGTTTGAAGCCAGGACCAGCAAAAGCTAGGGAAAGCGCGGCTGGAACTGGCGGCGCCGCCGCCCTTTTCCCCGTAGCACACTGCCCCTGGGTAGGCCTCCTTAGGACCCAGCCCTCAGGAAAAGGGGAGGAGCCTCTCGCGCCGATGGGCCCCACCGCGGCCATTGCTTGTTTAAGCGCGGAGAGCCGCAGGTCACGTGACGGAGGGCGTGGGGGCGTGGCACCAGGAAGCGGCTTCCGCGCCCCTTGGATAGCTGCCGCCGCCGCTAGTCCCGAGACCCCGCACAGGGAGCTGCTCGTCCGGCTTCACGCTGGCTGCCGCCCCCGGACCCCCCGCCGCCAGCGCGGCGCCCGCCATGGGCGAGGAGGACTACTACCTGGAGCTGTGCGAGCGGCCCGTTCACTTCGAGAAGGCGAATCCCGTCAACTGTGTCTTCTTCGATGAGGCCAACAAGCAGGTCGGGCCAGCCCGCACCCTCCTCTTCCGCGCGGCCGGGTGCTCCCAGCCCGCCGCTCTCGGCGCCCCCGGGGTCGCCCCGCGCGCCTAGGCCAGGTGTCGGGGGACCGGGCCTGGGGCCTCTCCCCGCGTCCCGGCGCAGGACCGGCGCCAGTGCCTTCCTGTTGGGTGGGCCGAGGGACCAGGCTTCGCTGCGGCCAGGGCTTTCTTCAAAGTGACAGCTGGGTGGACACCGAGCTGGCGCCATCGACCCAGTGCCCTTGGGCCGGTGTGGTTATCTTTTAGCACCTCAGTCTTTTCTCGGCGCCTTTTGTTGCATTTAGACATTGAGATTTCCATTATTCTCGGAATTTTGGAAAGGGGGGACACAGCGTGGGGAGTAGCAGGAGTGCATAAGCGGCGCCTTTGCCAAACCGATTAAAGCTTGGAGCCACGGGGTTCCCCCCGCCCCGTTCTTGCACAGTGGGCAGCACTTGGAATGGTAGCCTTTTTAGTTTCTACTCTGGTTTCTTAAAATTCATGGGAACATCAAGCATTTGCAGACTGATAGGTGCCATGTTGGTTTAGTTGAACCAAGGGTGAGGTGTAGCAGAAATATTCACTTGTAGGTTGGTGTATGTGCCCAGTGTTTCAAAGTTCAGACCGTTAACATTGCTACTTTTCCTTCTCAGGTTTTCGCTGTTCGATCTGGAGGGGCTACGGGGGTGGTTGTTAAAGGCCCAGATGACAGGAATCCCATCTCGTTTAGGTAAGTGTCAACATTTTCAGAATAATTTCAGCATGTAAACAAAATTATGTTTCTGTTTCTCCTTCATAGGGTAGTTTTAAAATTTTGTTCTTTGCCTCTCCTAAGGTCTGAAGTGTGTGTGTGCGCGCGTAAGTACAACGTACATCCCCATCTGCAGACACCTGCTCTGCAGTCTTGGTGGCACAAACTAGTACTTCCTGTCAGTGAAATGTAGAAGTAGTTTCCTGTTGATTTGGGAACCAAGTACTCTGAAGTAGGGCACCTATTTCCTGATACTTGAAATTAGCAAGTCAGGACATTATTGACTTCCCATTTCCGGTTTTTTGACCCAGGAAGACCTTCATTTCCTCATTTGGCCCAGGTCTTTCCGGGATGTTTGGAAGGTGGAGGAGATTCCTGGGTCAGTGTTTCCCATGTGTTAATGTATATTAAGAAAATCCCAATGCAGGTTGAACCGGTGTAATTATGAATAGCATCCTCTTTCACTTTCAGATGTATCTCAATTTGGGTAATAAATTATCTGGCCATCTTAACTCCTGTAATTATAGACGGAGAAAGTACAATGTAGGCCCTCAATTCAGTGGTGACTAAAAACATGTTTACAGTGGCCTTTGTTGATAGGAAACAGTTTTTGAAGTAGAAAATAAATCGCACATCATTTGTTTGTCAAACACTGATTGCAGCACCAGTACTGGGCACCAGGCACGTGAAGGCCTTGCATTAGCCTGGCATCCTTTTGGAGAATTCATAACTTTAGTGTGGGAGACACATACTATTTACTTTGACTAGTGCTATACCCAGAACGCAGGCACACAGAAGAGATGTGACATTTCTCTTGGGATAAGAGGGGGAAGGCCTCAGAAAGGAGGGAGTCTTTGAGCAAAACTGGAGGAGCTGAATGGGATGATTCTAGGTAGAGAGGAGAGGAGGCCTTGCAGTTGGAGAGAACACCCAGCGCAAAGGTGAGCAAGCGTGATGTTTGGGGAACTCCAGGTCTGTGTCACTGAAGATTAGGTGTCCATGCTGGGAGCAGGTGCTACTGATGCTGTGGCCACTGGCAGGGCCTGGCTTGAACCCTATACATTTTGCTATGGAATTAGGGCTCTGTCTTGTTACTGTAAATTTCTGAGGTGGGGTGTGGCATGAGCATATCAGCATTTGAAAGATGCTTTTCCCAGCCTTGAGGCTGGATTAGTTGGGAGCATATCAGAGTCAGGGCAATAGTCTGAGCCAGGGGTGGTGAAGACCAGACGGAAGGCAGGGTAACCTGATAGCGCATCTGGTAGGATTCGGTGGTCAAAATGAGAGTGAGTCCGTGATGGTCCCGATTTGGGCGCTCAGTAGGGTTTGAGGGGGAATATTCTGAATTTATTCTTTTTAAAAAAACATTTATTTTTAATGGCTTTACTGTGGTGTAATTATTAAATGTACGTAATTAATGTGTAATTGATAAGTTTTGACCTATGTGCACATCCATGAAATTATCACCACAATCAAGCTATGAACATCCCATACCCCTAAAGTTTCCTCACGACCCTCTGTAATCCATCCCTTGACTTCCTTTGAGGTGGTTGTGAGACTCTAAGGTGGGGCTGTCCTAAACCTGTGGGGTAGTGAATGGGAAGGAGGACACTTCTCTTTCAAAGGCTTTGCTGTGAGAACGATGGAGAAAGAAGGCAGCTGTTTGTGGAGGTTACAGTGTGGGTACAGGCATACCTTGGAGATAATGGCAGGTTTGGTTTCAGACCACTTCAATAAAGGGAGTTATCAGAATAGAGTGAGTCGTAATCTTTTTACTGGTGTGTATGAGGGGGTGTCTTGCCTTTAATTTGTAAAAAAATGCAACATCTGTGAAGCTCATTAAAGCAAAGCACAATAAAAAGAAATATGCCCGTATCTATTGGGTTGTCGGAGAAGTCGTGACGCATTTTTGCAACGAAAAACAGAGAAAAAAATATGTCATGACTTTTCCGACAACCCAATACTTATCTATGTCTGAAATAATTATCGGGAAAAGTGCAGGTGATCTCAATTCTTTCATCACTTGTTATCTGCAATACTGTAAATTTCTCAAGCAATTTACGATGTACAATTTTGGATATTGTTTCTTAAAAAGAGGTTCTGCGAATAGCTTCAGAAACATAGGTTTAATTTAAACCAAGATTTGCTGCTTTGTGAATACTTAAGCTTGTCTTTTTTCTTCTCACAAAATGATAGAAGGTAGAATTCAGTGATTAAGTTTAACTCTTAACATACTCTTTCTTCTTAAAGAATGGAAGACAAAGGAGAAGTGAAGTGCATTAAGTTTTCCTTAGAAAATAAGATACTAGCTGTTCAGAGGACCTCAAAGACTGTGGTAAGACTTATCTTTAAATACAGTGTAAAGAAAGGACATTAGAAGTACATTTGGAAGAGAATGAATTGCAAAATTCCAGTGTTAAAGGAGCTGTTTGTTATTTTAATGTCATGCAAGCTATAGTTATGTTGCATTGTATTTGAGCCCATGGAATTCTTGAAGAAAGACATTTGAATGGATATATACTTATGACCTTTGTTTGACATTCTTGACTTAAAAAAAAACAACAACAAATTTTGAACCTCAGGCATCTTTTGTATTGATTAATAGCTAGTGCTAGAGATTGCATGAGGTATATTTTTGGGTACTTTGTGAATTAGACTTATCCCAGAATAACTCCCTTTATTCACTTCTCTCATCTTTGAATGCTTCATCTAATAGGAACAGATAGTCAAAGTTGGAGCAGCTTGTTGGCATTCTAGCCTTTATAAATATTCACCATTGCCATTTGTAAAGTAGAGAAAAAGCTGTTAAGAGGTAAAATCCTGTTTTCTTCCGTTACTATTAATTGCTATAATTTTTTGAAAACCTCTTGTAAAATGTAGAGCAACACATTTCTCTGAAATCAACCATTTGAGGAATGAATTTTCAGAATCAGTTTCTAAACCCTAACAGAATATTTGGATTAACTCTGTTTTAAAAATTGAATTGTCAACCTGCTGCTTAGTAAGGAGGCAGATTGTCCACATTGGTCTTTTTTATTGTTCTTGTCTGGGTTTTTGTCAGGTTTTTTCTGCTCACTTTTAGAATTTGTGTGTCTTTTGTCTTGTTGTATATCAAAGTATTGACAGTATGCTGCCCGATCCAAATTTCTCCTTTGTGTTGTTTTTTTTTTCTTTCAGGATTTTTCTAATTTTACCCCGGATAGTTCTCAGCTGGAATACACGCAAGAGTGCAAGGTATGGGCCCGGATCTTTTCCCAGCTGGTCGGCATTTAACTGGGTGGGTTACATTGTGGAGATGCAAGGCAGCGTGGTAATTGAGAGCACAGACTTGGAGGCATACTGTGCCTTATGCTGAGGTCTGCTGCATATTGGCTTTGGGACTTCGGACAGTTTTTAAAAAGTTTCTTCATCTATAAGATGGAGTTGGGAGGATTAAATGGATGACAGATGTAACACACCTAGTAGTCTCAGTACTTGGTGGCTGTTGTCTTCCTGTCACCCCTGCACGTCTCCTCATGGCTAGCACATCTGGGTCAGACCCTGTATTCCTTTCATAGTCGCCTCTTTGGAGGTTTGTGGAAGAGGAAGTTTTTTCCTCTTTTCTGGTGATGTTTCCTTTCCTTGATTTGTCCTTGTGTCGTTTTTCCCTGGGGGTAGATTCTAATCCATATTCATTAGATTTGCTGGGTATAATAAACTAGGCTAAAGAGGGCTCAGCTGCAAGGGACAATGTGGCACCCCAGAAATGAGCAGAATCTGGTAGTGGATGAGGGATGGCTCTGGCATCTTTGTAATGGTTTTGCTAAATGGAGTTCAGGGTGGGCTCTGCACCAAGGAAAGGCACATCCGCCAAATAACTGAATTTTTCGCAGACCTCCAGTTCCCCTGTATGCCCAGAGGCTGTTCTCATAGACCTGTCCTCAGGCTTGGGGCACAGGTGTTCACCAATGAGTCAGGCGTGTAGGTTCAGGGCCACCAACCCCATTTTGGTAAACACTCGCTGAGAACCGTTAGGCCTTTTCACTTGTATAACACTAGTTTTTATGATGTCTTTAACTAAGAATATCGGCTGTCCTTTGGTTCCTAAAGGTAGAAATTGATATTTGTGAGTTCTGGTTGGTTTCCTTTCTGCAACACTCAGGCTTTTCCTTCTGTTCTGTTGACGAAGAGGAATTAAGAATCAGAACCTTCAGTGAGGTGTTACAGGTAAAAATCCAGGAACACTGGATTTCAAAAAAAAGTTTGATTCTAAGGAACTTTTATTAAAGAGTAATACAGACTATTGTAAGCTTTTGAAGATATATATATACATATATATATACACACTTATATATGTATATATATGTATATATATATGTTTTTCTTATTAATTCAAAAAAATATTTCTATAATTTTTTTCAGACCAAGAATGCCAATATACTAGGATTCTGCTGGACCAGTTCTACTGAAATTGTCTTCATTACAGATCAAGGAATTGAATTTTACCAGGTATTGTATTTACCGCTTACTCACTTATGTTTGCTGGAAAAAGGTTTGTAATAGCAGTTTGGCAGCTTTGTGAATTTAGCACTAAGTGGATATTTCGAGATTCTAGAGCTTTTGTCTCTTGCTTGGGTTTTGATTCTTTGTTCTATTTATAAGTAATGCATATAGTATTTTATAAAATGTTCAAACATTACCAAGATATATGAAAAGTAAAAGTCTACCATAATCCCTAGGAATAACTATTATGAACAGTTTGGTGCATTTTCCTCCATTTTTTTCTACACACACACACACACACACACACACACACACACACACACACACAAGCACACAAGCATTATTATTTTTTACAAAAATGGGAGTAGTGTATATAAACTTATGTGGCTGGCTTTTTTTTTTTTTTGCCTAGCAGTATGTGTTGGACTTCTTTCCACATTTTATTCTGAGTCGTATTCTATTATATGGCTATACTCATTTATTTAACCAGTTCCTTGTTGATGAACATCTGGCTTGTTTTCAGTTTTTTTGTGATTACAAACAATTCTGCAGTGAACATGTTTGTCAACATTTCTTTATATTCTTGAGTGATGCAGTTCTTAGAAGGGAGACTACATTATAGGTATAAACATCTAAAAAGCTGAACCACATATTGCTAAATTTCTTCCAGAGCTTTGCACTTTCACTAGCAATGTACAAATCTCCATTTTCTACATCTTTGCCAGAACTGGATATTATGTCGGTAGACATTTGCCAATCTAAAAGGGGAAAAGACATTTTAATTTACACTTTTCATTACTAGGGAGGTGTGTATGTTTTCATTTGTGTATTGTCTATTTGTATTTCCTTTTTTGTGAACTGCCTCTTCATCTTAAAAATTATTGTGGTAAAAAAACATATAACATAAAATTTACCATCTTAACCATTTTTAAGTGTGTAGTTCAGTAGTGTTAAGTGTATTCACATTGTGAAACATCTCCAGAACTTTTTCGTCTTGCAAAACTGAAACTCTCTACCACTTAAATAATTCCCTTTTCCCGCATCTCCCAGCCCCTGGTAACCACCATTTTATTTATTATGAATTTACCTACTCTAAGTACCTCACATAAGTGGAATCATACAGTATTTGTCCTTTGTGACTGGCTTATTTCACTTAGCACAAGTTCTCAAGCTTTGTGTTGTATATAGTATGTGGGAGAATTCCCTTCCTTTTTAAAAATTGAATAATAATTCCATTTTGTGTGTACACCACATTTTATTTATCCATTCATGCATTGAGGGACACTTGGGTTGCTTCCACTTTTTGGCTATTGTGAATAATGCTGACAAGAACCTGAGTGTGTAAGTAAATATTTGAGACCCTGCTTTCAGTTCTTGGATATACCCAGAAATAGGATTGCTGGATCTTATGGTAATTCTATTTTTAGGTGTTTTTTTTTTTTTCTTTAGGAAATGCCATACTGTTTTTCATAGTAATTATGACATTTTACATTCCCACCAATAGTGCACAAGGGTTCCAATTTCTTCAATGCTAGTTGTTTTCTGTTTTATTGATAATAGCCATCCTGCTGGGTATGAGATGATATCTCATTGTGGTTTTGATTTGCATTTCTCTGATGATTAGTGATACAGAAAATCTTTTCATGGCTTCTTGGCCATTCGTACATATCCTGGAGAAATGTCTAATAAGTCCTTGGCCCATTTTTTAATTGGGTTATTTTATTTCTGTTTTTGAGTTGTTGGGAGTTCTTTACTTATTCTGGATATTAACCCTTTATCAGATGATTGGCAAATATTTTCTCCCATTCCATAGGTTGCCTTTTCACTCTGTTGATTGTTTACTTTGATGCATCTGCCTCTTGATCTTTTAATATATTCCAACTGCCTGACCTATTAAGGATACTTCTGAGCTCTCTAAGTGGATCTATTCTATTCTAGAAGGTGTTAACTTGTTGACCTATGAAAGCAGTATAATTTAGAATGTATGGATGGAGAAAGTACACCTGTGTATGCAAACATGAGATGTTAACGCCATAGTGCTTTGCTGTAGGGCTGTCATCAAATCCTTTGTAGTGACCAGCAGAAAGAAAACAAACTTGACACAAATCCCATACACACAGAAATAGAATTTTGTATATATGATAGCTTTACAGAAGGGTTCCCTGGGGCAATCATTTAAAAGTGTAAAAGTGTATCTTTCTGTTCTCTGTAGTGGAAAACTATGCATTCAGATCACCTAGATGGTCTTCAGAACTTCAAGAAATGTTAGAAAAAAACCAAAAAAACCCCACCTCCCCTGAACAAACAAAAAAGAAATGTTAGAAAGGGGACCCTTGCGCATCCTTATTTTATTATACCTGAATTATCAAGAAACTTATGCCTCCCGACCCTGAATTCCACATCAGTTCTTCATTTTAGTGTTCTATGAGCATTAATGTCTTGCGGGCTCTATACAGTGTTCCTTAATGTATCATAACATCATTTAAAGTATGTTTAAAATGTGCCTTGATTATAAAATACTAGATTTGCATGCAGAGGCTCATGAACACACCTGTTAGAAAAGGGAGTGACTCCCAGACTCAGTGGGAACTGGAGTTAAGATGGAGACCAGGCGGAAGGTAGATGGCGCAGGCTGGGCAGTCGCTGATATAATGCCTGGGGCTCTAGGCGCATGGGTTTGTTTGGACCATTTTCTCAATGAGTGAGAATTTTGCTGCTTTTTGCTTATTTGTGGGTGGTGCCTGAGAATGTGGAGGTTGAGACCCGGGCCTTACAGAAAAATGGCGTGCCAAGCCCATCACTTCATAAATGGTGAGGCAGTTTCTCTCACCTCTCTGAGCCTTATTTCCTCTTCTGTCGAATATTAATGATGTCCACTTCTCAGGGATGTGACGAGGGTAAATGAGCTAAGGTTTGTAAAACACCAAGCACCAGGATTGATGACTGGTAGCTGTAATAAATAAAAAAGAATTTCAATTCAACTTACTGAGCTCTTTCTGCTTTTTATTATTTTCTTAATTTACTGTGTCAGTCTTCTGACATTTTGCTGTTCTTTAAATGAAGACTGTGTTTCTTGACCTTTGCTTCAGGTATTACCAGAAAAACGAAATCTGAAACTCCTAAAGAGCCAGAATATCAATGTGAATTGGTACATGTACTGTCCTGAAAGTGCCGTGATTCTGCTGTCTACCACAGTCCTTGGAAACGTGCTGCAGCCCTTTTATTTTAGGGTATGAGTAAGCACCCCTTTAAAAAAAATTCCTCCTCCCCCACTCACTCCCACGCTCCTACCCTGTTCCTTTAACATCCTAATGTGCCAAGTGCTTCTATGGGGCAAGTTCCTCTAATAATAACTTCACTGCTTCTGACCACTAGAGGGCACACTATACCATTCCATCAACTCCAAGAATGATTCATTCTGGGAAGACTGTGAGTAAAGGAAGGACATGGTGTGACACTGGAAAGGATAGAAAAACATAGTGTGTGTATGTCCTTGATGATTTTACGTAGGGAATGCTAAAATGTCAAAGGGGTTTAACAAACTTGCCCTAAGACTTTTTTTTTCCCCCAACAGGCTGGCACTATGTCAAAGCTGCCCAAGTTTGAGATTGAATTACCAGCTGTGCCTAAGTCCACTAAACTGTACCTTTCTGAGAGAGACATTGCGATGGCAACGATGTATGTTTGTATTTTGAGAGAACGCCTTCTTGTAATTGCTTTCAGTGATAGAAGTAATAGACGTGCATTAGAAACACTCAGGGCTGCCCTTTCCTTAGGTAGCCTTGGAACACACAATCAGGACTTCCCTTCCGTCTGGCGTACCTAGATCTTATGAATATAGAAAACCTGCTGTCTTCTTGGCATTTTTTATTTTATTTTACTAGCTTTGTGGTCTTAGGAAAGTTTTTTTCACCATTTTAATCTGATAAAATGAGAACATCGAGCCAGTTTATTTCTTGGATATCTTAGTTTTAGAATTTTTCTTTCATTTTGTGAGTTGGAACTTATCAGTTATTTTTTTTTAGATAAAATATATTCTAATTGTTGTAAACAACAACATAGTCTAAGTTTTTTAACAAACATGAAACTGAATTACTTAAGTAGGAAAGTGTATTTTCACTTGGAAATGCAGCTATATTAATTTTTAAACTTGATTATGAAAAATTCAAACACAAAAATAGGAATACAAAGAATCCCCTATAACTGTATTCAACAAATACCATCATTTTACTTCTAAATTATTTCTAATTCTCCTATAGCCTAAAACAGTGGTTTCCAAACTTTAAAAATTTTTAGCAGTTAGAATGCCTCTCTCTACACCTTTTTTTAGCAGGAAGTCTGTGGCATCCTGGTCTACAAAACAAAATGAGAGCAATCCTGGCCAAAGTGGAGGTGGGGACCCACTGCCTTCCCTGTGGCAGGCTCAGCACAGTGTTAAACACTGGAATAAAAATGTGCATGCAGGAACTGGTCACACCACATTTATTAGATGAGGCTTAAAAAGGGATAGTGATGGTATTTTCCTATGATGAAGGAATATACTCATTGTACAAAACTTGGAAAAGACAGAAAGTTAGAGGAAAAGAAAATGGACTTGTCTTATCCAAGGATAGCTATTAACATGTATTTATAGTATTTTTACATCGTATGCATGTTTGTGTTTTTCTTTTAAAATATTATAATCAAGCTACATTTAGTTTTGTACCCATCTTTTTACTTAGACTTTTTTTTTTTACTAATTGCACTTGCTTTGCAAATGTTTTTGTTGGCTGCAAAATATTCCATTAAGTGAATATTTCATGATTGACATCACTATATCCTTATAATTGAGCATTGAGAATGGAGGAATTTCAAACAGCCAAATGTGACTTATGACTCTGTTCTCTAATCAGCTACAGACAGCTTTTTGTTCTCTTCCTGAGGCATCATTCGCGGACCTCCAATAGTACAGGAGCAGAGGTGGTCCTGTATCATCTACCACGGTATACTTAATGCTTTCTTCCCTCTTTCTCCAATTTTAAAATTTGAACTAAAGCTTGTCGATCTAGTTTTTGACCTTTCTGTTGTCCTACAGAGAAGGTGCCTGTAAAAAGATGCACATATTAAAGTTAAATCGGACGGGGAAGTTTGCCCTAAATGTGGTGGATAATCTGGTGGTGGTTCATCATCAGGATACAGAGGTATGAGTTGTGTGTGGCTGTCTGGTCTGTGTTCGTACAAGTTAGGCTTGCTTGAAAGAGTTGTGAAAATTGCTAAAACATTCTGAACAAACACTTGAAAGTGCTTTCTTTGCTAAAAGTTTTGGAATTCCAGATAGAAATGTGTTTGGTATTCTAGATGGTTTAGAAAAACCAGTGATTTCATGTCAGTTGATTAAGGATAATTAAGAACTATTTCAGAAAATAACACATGAGGAGATTTGACTTTGGAATAGTTATTTGGTTGAATGAACTAAGCTGGGAATTCATGCAGAACCACTGTGTTACGTGAGCACGTGGGCTCTGTCCTTCCTTTGTGACTGTAGATGATAATGCTAGATGATAATGGTTTTGAGACTGTATGGCCCAAGAGAAAGAACTAGACTGGGTCCTGCCTTGTCTACGCTGTTAGCTGGGTGTCTGGTGGTAGACAGACCACTTCTCTTGCATGCCCTGGTGGGTGGTGACACCCCGATCCTTGGTTAATGAAGATGCCACAAGTGAAAAAGATCTGTTTAAATCACTTAGAGCTCTTCAAAGGAAGCATGTTATAAATGTCAGGACTATTTGTGAGAGTAGATAAAAACGTAAAAGAATGTTGTGATGTTATAGCAAATTCTTCATCAAAGAACTGGCCAGTAGAAATGGAATGCAAATAGAGACTCTAAACAAATCTGAAATAGCAAGCTGTGAAGTAATGAAAGGGTTAAGCCAATCTGTGATTTTTTTTTTCCCACTTTAGACATCGGTAATATTTGATATCAAGTTAAGGGGAGAGTTTGATGGCACCATTACCTTCCATCACCCAGTGCTTCCAGCTCGATCGATTCAGCCCTATCAGATTCCCATGGCAGGTAAAAGGGAGTCACCGTGTAGTTGGGGGTCACATTCAAGACTGAGGAGTGTGCACAGAGGGTCCCCAGTCTGTTAGCTTTTGTGAGGGGCTTTTCTTTTTTATTTTAACTGATTCTGTCAGCTAAAATTGTGTTGTTGTGAAAAGTATTTTATGAGATAAATGGATCTTCCTCTGAGGAAAATAGATTTCTCTGAGTTTTAAAATGGAGAGTTGTGATTACCCAATGAAGCTGGAAGACTTTTAAATGTTGAATAAGCCCTTGAAGTTTTCTGATTGCCTGCGCTCTGTAACCCTGAGATTAAATTTGGCTGCTTGTGGCTGTTATTTTAACCTGGGGTCACTTTTCCTTATCTTTCTCACATTCTGTGTCCTAGTTATGAAAGTTGGGCATTCTTTCCTGACTGATGGTCACAGTAAAGTGCTTAAGACTGTGGGTCTCAGGTTGTTCTAGATCAATCCTCCTGCCTGAAGAGGTGGAAGTAGGAAGATAAGAAGAGAGGAGGCCAGGATTTCAGGAAAGAGGGAAAGAACCATTTTGTTCTTTTGCCTTTTCCCAGTGTAATCGATTTCAAATAATACTCCGCTCTCAAAGGAGAGTGGAGTACAGAATAAGTTAGTTGAAGTTTCAGTGTGTAAACCATACAAGCTACACATGTGAAACTCCGGTAGCAATGTTTTCTTATTAAAAAGAATCCTTGTCAGATAGCATTGGGGGGTCGGCCCAGCCTGCAGTCAGGATGTCCTTGGACCTGTCACAGAGAAGGCCCAGATCAGGCTGCAGCTGATAGTGCAGCAAGGACACTGCCTCTGGCCTGCTTTGCTAGTCTTGCTGGATCAGCCAGAAGCTTAATAACTCTCTGGTAGAGTTTGGAAGGAAGGAGGTAGTTTTCACGTTTCAGTTGGTCTTTTGGCCTTCTGTGTTCTTTCCAGCTTCTTCCTTTTCCCTGGGTAATACCGTGTTTCTCCGAAAATAAGATGGGGTCTTATATTAATTTTTGCTCCAACGATCTACATTTATTCACTTATTCATGTACAAAAATCTACATTTATTCACACAGTCATGTCTGGCGGACGATCTTAACTGGGGCTTATGTTTGGGGTAGGGCTTATATTACGAGCATCCTGAAAAATCAGGCTAGGGCTTATTTTCCAGTTAGGTCTTATTTCTGGGGAAACACGGTAATGTTAGCGTTACAGGCAGACCTAGTTTATTGTACTTGGCTTTATTGTGCTTCACAGGTGCTGGGTTTTTTTCTACAAATTGAAGGCAAGGCCCTCCGCCAGCAGAAATCACCACTTGCTTTCTCCCAGACTCGCTTTCCCCCCAGACTCGCTTTCCCCCCAGACTTTTTCCCCCCAGACTCACTTCCCGCCCCAGACTTACTCCACCCCCCACTCGTTTACCCCAGACTTCTAGACTGTGGGTTGGTAAAGCTTTTTTTAAGGTTAATGCCTTTTTGCTTTGTCTTTCCTGCTACATCGTAAGCCCATTTCAGAAAGAGCTTGTTGGGCTCTTTTGAAAGCTGAAACCAGCAACTTTAAGGAGAGCCAGCTGCCCTCCTTTTCCTCCTGTCTTTGGTCTCTTGGACCAGTGGTTCTCACTGACTTGACATTAGGATCACCTGGGGGGCTTTAAGAACCAGAGCCACCTGGCTCTCACCTGAGAGCGTTTTAAGTCAGCATGATGGGCAGTCGGCATTGAGGCCCACATGTAAGACCTTTATTCTGAGGTTCCAAATGCAAGTGTTTTGCTCTCGCTTATGTGGTGGGGCCTTTTCCTCTCTTAGGGGGTCTGTTAAAAATTACCACCCTTTCCAACCAGCTGATTAAAACCTGTCTTCTGATTGTACCTAGGTAATTGGAACAGAACTGGGAATCATGTTTAGTTTATAGGACTGCATTTGTCAAGTTCACCGTGGGCTACCCACCTGACACACGAGCAGTGTAACTGGTAGTTACGAGTCCCTGTCATGTGAAGTTTTGGGGGGTCTGCTTCGCAGGCGAGATCTCTGTGCCTGGACCTGCTACTGTGTGCAGTGGAGAATTGAGCTAATTATTCAGATAATTAAATCACAAAACACTTGTATTTAAAATATTCTTAGTGAACTATCCGAGTATTTGATTTTGAATCATCCAGGTACATTTCTCAGTTCTTTAATGTGCACGTGTAAATGATGTGGCGTCATCTTTGGTTAGTAACAACACCACTGCATGAAGGCTTGACATGCTTTCTCCTTGGGAAAACATTTTCTTGGCTTGTTCTCGACTTCCCCCTTCCTATATGTTATCAGTGGGACATGACAGTTCACTTCTTCCCTTGTTTCATGAGTTGAATAAATGTTTACTGAAGGCTTTAAAAAGTATTAACATTTTACATCTTAAGTAGTAGTATTGGCAGCATGTTCTGGGTACACTCTCAGGCCTTGCACACCTGTGTTTTCTCTACTTGTAGGTCCTGCTCCTGTGACCAATCAGTCTCCTGTCCCGTGTAAACTCTGTATCCTTTACAAAGGCAGTGGTGCTGTGCACAGAGGGGGGCTGTTACCTCCCTTTACCCTGGTGTCTAGGAGGGTCCTGAAGCTCTGTCCTCATCAACCGGAATAACGCCTCAGGAACCACAGTGGGAGTTTACTATCGGGGGTGGGCATTTAAAGCAGCCTCAGCAAATGGGGCAGGGGCGAGTGCTGATTGGAGGTGGGTTTGCCTTTTGTTTTCATCTCTCTGGTTTAGAATTTCCTATGACATGTAGATTCTTCATCCTGGATTGTGTTTCAACCTGACATCATTATCAGTGCAAGCCAAGGTGGGTCAGAGGGGACAACCATCATGTTAAGAGAGAAAATAGTGCTTGTTGACTTTGGATGACAGTGTTAGCCAGGGACATTTTTAACGTGATTATTTGAGAGATGACCTCTCCCTTCAACCTGGGAATGGGATTATTTTTTACTTTATACTCTGGTCTCTGTGTGTATATTTTATCACAAGCATAGACTTTTTATAATTAAAACAACTAAGAATGGCCATTCCCTGCTTTAAACCCTTTCATATCTGTCCATCCTGAAAAGCTGGACCCATCAGCGTGGTGTGCAGGGCCCTCCCTGCCCTGTTCTGACCTCCCACCATTATGCCCACATGTGCCTGCACCCGTTTCTGTTTTGGGTGCCTGGGGGTGCACTCCTGTTTCTCACTGCGGGGGAGCCCTCCCTAAGGATGTTCTCTCTTCCTTGGTAGTCCTCTAACATCTTGAATCTTTTTCTGTTAGAGTACTTTCTACATTAGTCTTTAGTCATCTGTGTATTTTCCTGTCTTGCCCACTGGGATTCTTAAGGAGAGAATTAGCTCTAATGCCCGAGGTGGCATCCATGGTATATAATATGCTCACTTCTGCCCATCCAGAATGGTGGTAGCTCTGTACCAGCCATGGGAGAATTGAGAAAGGGAGCACTCCGATCATGTTTAAGGTAGCATTTAATTCTCTCACCGACTCCCAGTTGAGAAAGGCTCTGCCTGCCTACCTGGCACTGTGGGTGTTCAGCAAAGTTATGGATTGATGAATGGATGAATTATGAAATTCCCCTGCAGTTACTTTTAACCAATGAGCCATTGCAGGAGAAACCAGAGCACAGGATGGGAGTTAATGCCACATGTTAGCGTCTTTTTCCACCTTCAAGGGTAAGAGGGGGCTAGGTGTGGAGAAGGAGGTGCTGTGACTTGGTTAAGAGCTTGCTGCCTCATGTTCAGGGGCTGCCATTGATGTAGCTCTTAACATGGAGGGTTCCTTCGTTGTACAGAATCAACCAGGCATGCAGTAGTTAGGCTGTCAGTCCTGTTGTCAGGCATGTGCTGAATGCCCTCAACCGTGCTTTGGATTGTAAGAAAAAGCCATTAACTATGCTCTCCCCCACGAACCCTTAGGGGAGCCACCTTTTGGACTTTTGCTCTGGTTTGCATCATACTGTTAAATTTGCTGCCTCTTAAATCAGGTTACCTCTGGAACCTCCAAGTGAAACTTCAGCCCATAGTAAACCTCCTGCCAGACAAAGGAAAACTGATGGACTTTCTCCTCCAGAGAAAGGAATGCAAGATGGTCATCCTGTCTGTCTGTTCGCAGAGTAAGTGGATGAACCTTCTCCATAGGTCTGATCCCAGTATTAGGCCTGCTGCCCAGCACCTTTCAGTGGGAGCGGGGCCACCTTTTCATGCCTTGTCTGTAGCCCGTAGCTCCATTCTTCACTTGAAGGATGGATTATTTAAGCTCCTAGAAAGGCTACTAAACATAAAAATGACTTGTAGAGACTTTGGTAGAAAAGACAAAATAGGATGGTTCCAGGTGAAAGCAAACCTGAACCTGGGCACACATGAGGGTTTGGGGCTACCATCCCTAGTTTTAAAACACATTTTTCCACTGCTTATCTACTTTGAGAACATTCTACAGATACCTGCCATAGCTATTTTTTTTTTCTAGTAACGAGAAAGGGCTTATGAGTGAGTTGTAGGCTTTAGGCCTCTAAACTAGACCATTGCTCTGAATGCCCGGTATGTTTGCACTGCTAACCCTTTGAGATTAGCTTTCTATCATAGCAACATGTTCTGAAGTTGACAAAGTTGACTGACCCTGTAAACATTTATTCTTTCCAGTGTTGAGTGAGTCAGACAGAGCAACGCTGCCTGTGATAGCCACTGTTTTTGACAAACTCAATCATGAGTATAAAAAGTATCTGGATGCTGAGCAGAGTTATACGATGGTAAGTTATATGTACTATGACGAGGGCTCTTCTACCCCCCACCCCCACCCCTGTACATTTGTAAGTAATTATAATGCAAGATTCTGAAAGAATAACGTCACCGAGATATGCTACGTGCCAGAGGGCAAGGTGGCCGTGGTGGGTGAGCAGGAAATTCAGTCCCTTCATCCTGTTAGCTTGAGGCTGTATCTCACTTAATGCCTTCACTTTTGTAACCTGTTTGATCTTACTCATAGACCCTTGGTCTTACCTCTATTTTATAGATAAAATTGGTTTCAGCTTTGCATTATTTTATACATGTTTCTGCCAAGCCAGAGTCTAGTCTTAATTAGAAGTATAATTTTGCTGTCTTTTTATTCAGTTTTCTGTTAATGATGATTAAGTATTAGCACTGTGCTATTCATATAGGAGGCTCAAATATTTGTTGTGATGGGCTGGGAAAAATTAACATGGCTTATCACCAGGTTCTGCTATACGGTTAATGCATCATGTCTTCTGAAGTGAGAAAGTTTAGGACAAGTGGAATGAATAATTTCACTTAAAGGATCTAATTAGTCCTAAAGCTGAAAATGGAAGTGGTTTTAAACAGTAAGAGTCCCCGAACTCCACTCACCTTTAACTACTCAAGGATAACAGGACTGATGCAGGCCGCTGAAGGGCCCTTGGGGCCCTGTCCTGTCAGACATGGGGGGAAGGGGAGGCTGCATTCTTTGAGAGCCTTCTCTTGGTCCTGCTGCTAGTGTACTGGGCCGTGGGAATCGGTAGGTCTGACCTCAAATGGCAGTTTCTGTGCATCCCTGCTCTGTGGCTGCTGGGTTTCATAAACCCTTGCTAGTCACGACTGTGGCCCACCATCTGCAACATCAGAGCACCTGACACTTCTCAGAAACGCGGGTTCTCAAGCTGCCGCCGCAGTTCCTGCAGAATCTTCCTGATCTCAACTGCTGTAAAAAGTTAGGCTGAGGTAGTCAGGATCTTCTCACAGAGCTTTCCTGTTCAGTAATGTTTTGGGAGCCTTGCTTAACATAAAAATCTAGATATAGACTCATAATACAAAGTATTCACTTATTTTAAGATCAGGGCTTCATAAAACAAAGATGCAGCTAGCCATTCCATTTTTATTAGATAACAAATGCCAGATAGGCTGTGATTAAGAAATTTAGATAGGGAGTTATCTTAAGAGGTTAAAACATTATGATGTCCCTTAAGAGAAAACTATGGCTTATGTTTTTTCACTCCACCATTGAACATTGGCCTATTTTCAAGATGACTAACTCTGACTTTCTAGACTCTTCCCCAGTAAGCACAGGAAAAATGGTTTTGTCCAAATAGTGAAATAAGTGTCATCTCCTGCTCAAATCTGAGGTACACAGCTTCTAGAAATTCAGTCTTTGGATTAGCTGCAAACACAACATTGCCTAGAACA